AGAATTCTGGCTCCTGGTATGTTCAGCCAATCAGCTGCCGACAGATGCCTTTCCAGTCAACCCATTACATCATGTTGCCTTTTTACAAATACCCACAGATTCTGTGGGGTCTCTCAGAAACTTTGATAATACTGACCATGGTAGCCTCCTAGGGTGTTTTCCTGAGATTGGAAGTGTTGTTTTATAGTGGCTCTATTCTTTTCCTGAGGATTCAACTTATAAAGCATTGTAGACTCCACTTTTGTTGGAGTTAGGACCAGATGATCGCTTGTGCAGTGAAAAATCCTGGCTTTTATATTCAATCACACGTCAGACACCTCCCAAATGTCTAGGACTGTGTGATGTATGAGCGAATAATGCATGCAGATCCGAGTAGGGTGGCCCTTTGCATCTGACAGATGGTAATTTTGTCAGTGCTGATTGTTTTTAAGTGCAGGCCAAGGTCTTTAGGACTGCACCCAGTATACCGATCACCACTGGGACCACCTTGACCGGCTTGTGCCAGAGTCTTTGCAGTTCTATCTTTAAATCCTCATATTGTGTATTTTATTATTATTATTATTATTATTATTATTATTATTATTATTAATACCCTGTTTTCTTCCTAGTTAAAAACCATTAAAACACCACAGCACCCCCTGAATTGGTCTTAAAACCTTGAAAAGCGGTATAGAAATGCAGTAAATAATAATCTTTACAAGCCTATCTAAATAAAAAGCCTGTCCCTTTCTAAAATGCATGGGAAAACAATATTTTTTAAAGACCTTACAACTCTCGCGAGAGTTGACACTCTCCCAAGGGAAAAGAGACAAGGGTGGCAACAGAAGCCCCGCCCCCTCTGTTTTCCTTCCTCCGCTTCCAGCAGCGCCAGGCAAACCGGCAAAGACAGGCCACGCCCACAGCCGGCGGGATGCCTTTGGAAGCGAGTCGGCCGATGAGTTCCCTCTTTTCATTGGCTACTCCGCGAAAAGTCGTCGGTCATTCCTTCGCTGTGATTGGTGGGCCCATCCTCAACCCTGTTCGGTGGTTGTTTTCATCGACCCATGGCGCGTGCGCAGTTTGGTCCTGGGCCAAAGGGGATAGCCGCGCAGGCGCAGTGACCGCTTTTGAACTGGTGGGAAAGGCGCTGCTGGACGGGGTCCGAGGGTCACTTGGGCAGGTGACGGGCGCGCGCGCTCAAAGGCCTCGAGACAGAGAGAGAGAGAGAGAGAGGTGAGTGCGCGTGCGCAAAAGGGCGAGGGCTTTGGCTCTCTGAGGGATGGAGGAAGCTGCTTATGACAACAGAAGGAATCGACTGATTTGGGGCTGTTTGGGTGGGAATGCCTTGTGGGGGGAGGGGGGTCGACTTCTAGATGTCATTTAGAAGCCAATAAATAGATAGGTAGATTAACAAAAGCAATAATTAAAAAACAGGATCCCCCCACCCTCCAATGTGGTGGGGACACATACTGTCAGGGAGGCTTCCTTCTTGGGATGCTCAAGGAAGGCCCTGGAAGGGAGAAGGTTGTTTCTTCTTCTTTCCTGATTGCATAAGGCTTTAGACTGGGATGAAGAGGAATCAGCCTGTCTTGTGTGTAAAGTCTTGCATCCATTTGTGGCAGAGCCTGTGTTGGTCCCTTTTTCCCCATTTAGCTGCTTCCCTCCACTGAGATGTAGGCCCACCATAATATCAATGCATTTAATCAAACCTCAGCCTGAATGAGATCTCGTTTCTAGATTAAACAAATGCTGGTCAAAATGACGGGTGAAGAGAAGGTGGAGAGGAAGATGCTTCCTTGAAGATGTGAAGGGCCTGACAAGGAAGCATCTTCCTCTCCACCTTCTCTTTACCCGTCTTTTTGACCAGCATTTGCTTAATCTAAAAATGAGATCTCATTCAGGATGAGGTTTGATTAAATGCATTGATATTATGGTCGGCCTACGTCTCAATGGAGAGGAGTATCTAAAGGGGAAAAAAGGGACCAACACAAATTCAGTATTTATTTTATTTATTTACTATATTTATATACCGCTGGGGGTGGTGACGGCCGACAGGGAGCTCTGGCATGGGCTGGTCCATGAAGTCACGAAGAGTCGGAAACAACTGAACGAATCAACAACAACAACATAAACCGCCATTCTTAGCTTGAGGGCGATTCAGGGCGGTTTACAAAATGGCACAATTCGATGCCCATAATAACATTAAAACAGTTAAAACATTTAGCATAAATAAAATTCAGTAAGTAAAAAACCCAATAAAAACATAGATCCTCCACGTCTCATTACCAAAATCGTTATCCAATCACATTGTCCAGTCGTTCCGAGATCAGGGTTTGTCTGCTACACTGCATCTGAGAAAGCCTTTTTTACGAAATGTTAAGACTTTTTTACAAAATGTTAAGTGGGTGGGGGCCGATCTAATGTCCTTAGGGAGGGCGTTCTACAGCCGAGGGGCCACCACTGAAAAGGCCCTGTCTCTCATCCCCGAATCTGAGAGGAAGGCATGACTAAGAGCAGGGTCTTCCCAGAAGATCTTAGATTTCTAGATGGTTCATAAGGAGAGATACGTTCAGTACAGTATGTACAGTAGACCAGGCATGGGCCAACTTAGGCCCTCCAGGTGTTTTGGACTTCAGCTCCCACAAATCCTAACAGCTTCAGGCCCCTTCCTTTTCCTCCTCAGCCGCTTAAGCTAAGGTGGGAGAAGGAGGGAACTCCAAAACGCCTGGAGGGCCTAAGTTGGCCCATGCTTGGTCTACTGTATCATTGTATTTACGGCTTTAGCACCAAAACATACAAGGATTCTTTCTCCCACTCTGGACTGCATTGGATAATACAGAACGTTGGATAAGTGAAGGCTGGATAAGCGAGATTCTGCTGTATTATAAAAACTGGTTTTATTTTTATTTAAAGTATAATTATTAATTTTTTTGCCAGGTGTTTTGAGAGTTTATTGCAGGCATGGGCAAACTTGGGGCCCTCCAGGTGTTTTGGACTTCAACGTATAAAACAACTCAATAATAAGTGTGAAATTTAAATATACAAAGTAAAATTATTGGGACACATTTCTCTAATAACACTAATAATGGTCAGAGATAATGAACACATTTTAAATGAATCATACAGTTATCAATAGGCCATCTGGATGCAGGTAGGTAATCTAGTGTAGATGTTGTTATTGTTGTTGATGATGATGGTGATAATCTTACACCTGAAATTCAGATCTGAAATTGTTTTATAATATAGTAGAGTCTTGCTTATCTAACCTTCACTTATCCAATGTTCTGTATTATCCAACGCAGTCCAGAGTGGGAGAGAGCAAGAATCCTTATCGGTTTTGGTGCTAAAGTTGTAAATACAACAATTACTACATAACATTACTGTGTATTGAACTGCTTTTTCTGTTGATTTGTTGTAAAACATGATGTTTTGGTACTTAATTTGTAAAATCATAATATAATCGTAACGTAATTTGACATTTAATAGGCTTTTCCTTAATCCCTCCTTATTATCCAACATTTTCGTTATCCAACGTTCTGCTGGCCTGTTTATGTTGGATAAGTGAGACTCTACTGTACAGTAAAACTGATACATTAAGTTCAGTTTTTCTTTATCAATTTGCTATTAATTATTGTATTTCAATATTAATATCAAGTCAGTACAAAGTTTATGGTGTGGCATAGGCTAGGCTAGGGCTATTTTGGATAGTAACTCTTAATAGCCAGAAAGTAGATTTATCTGGCATCTAGCAGTCCTCATGGGTGGTAACCGATCTTCACAGATTAGAGAGACGATTGTCCAAAACTAACAAAATGAAGTTTCACCAGGGACAAATGCAAAATACTCCACAATAGCCCTCATCACACTAGATGAGGGGTTTGTAGTTTAGGGAGGAGCCTTTAACAGCCTCACTAAACTACAACCCCCCAAATTCTTGCAGGCAGCAGAACCGGATTTTAAGTGGATTTTTTCTTTAGTGTGATGAAGTGATAGGCAGAAAAAATGAAATGCAAAAATATATAATGTGGGACACCTGGCTCGACAGCAGTACATGTGAAAAAGATCATGGAGTCTTCATGGACAACAAGTTAAACATGATCCAACAATGTCATGCAGCAGCTTAAAAAGCCAATGGGATTTTGGGCTGCATAAATACGAATCTAGTGTCTAGATCCAGGGAAGTCATGCTACTCCTCTATTCTGCCTTGGTCAGACAACACCTGAAATACTGTGTCCAATTCTGGGTACCTCAATTGAAGGGAAATGTTGACAAGCTGGAATGTGTCCAGAGGAGGGAGACTAAAATGATGAAGGATCTGGAGAACAAGCCCTATGAGGAGCGGCTTAAAGAGCTGGACATGTTTAGCCTGCAGAAGAGAAGGCCGAGAGGAGATGTGATAGCCATGTATAAATAAATGAGGGGAAGTAATAGGGAGGAGGGAGCAAGTTTGTTTTTTGCTGCCCTGAAGACTAGGATGCAGAACAATGGCTTCAAACTACATGAAAGGAGATTCTCCCTGAACATCTGGAAGGACTTCCTAACTGTGAGAGCTGTTCAGCAGTGGAACTCTCTGCCCCGGAATGTGGTGGAGGCTTTTTTGGAGGCTTTTAAACAGAGGCTGGATGACCATCTGTTGGGAGTGCTTTGAATGCAATTTTCCTGCTTCTTAGCAGAAGTTTGACTGGCTGGCCCACAAGGTCCCTTTCAACTTTATTATTCTGTTATTCTAATGTCAGGAAAGCATTGTCCTTTGAGAAATAGGGGGAAAACTGTACTGAAGATGTGTGTGGTGGGAAAGTGAAATGTTCTATAATTCTCTTGATAGGTGATGTGTATATGTACGTATAGTCAGCCCTCAACATTCACTGTCTTTTGAAAAAGTCACTGAACCTGCACAGAAAAAAAATGACTGCTTTTTTCACAGTCAAAATGTTAATGCAGATGCTACCCATTGAAATCATGGAATAAAAACCAGACTCTGTGTGCATACCACTGATACTATTTTCTTCTTTTTAAACAGGACACATCACTGACATACGGGGTTCAAGAACAGATAAGATCTTTTCAACAATGATGAATTCAGATATGGATGGTAGATAGCATTTTTACTTTCTTTGTGTTTTCAGTCTTATGTATTATAAAATTTAGCTCTTCTAAAGATTATCTATTTTATTCTAGCTATTGAGGCTGAAAATCAAGTGGAATTGGAAGAAAAAACACGTCTTATTAATCAAGTATTAGAACTGCAGCATACACTTGAAGGTTAGTGTTCTAGCTCAGAAGGGTAAGTTTATCTATATGCAAAATGAATTAGTATTGTCTGGGTAGATGCAGTTGCAAATAACTTTTGATGGGATAAATAGGCAAGAGGTCTCAGAAATCTAGCTGTGGATTGTCCATCATTGTATGACTTGCACAGCATTAAAGGAATGTCTAAAAGGAAGATCTGGTGTCAGATTATGACTTTTAATTCTTGAGTTTGTAGGACATGGATAGAATAATTGTAGGGTTACATCTTTCTGTTTGTGTGCTTGCTCTTCAACCACATTGCTTCTTATCATTGAGCAAGGAGGTAGAAACTCCCCAGTTAAAAGAGATGAGTATACAAACCTGAAAATAGGTAGCTATTTCCTTCTATTGAACATGGTAGCCCATAAATAAATAAATAAATAAACTTTATTTTTACCCTCCTGGAAGGGACTCGGGGCAGCTCATAAAAGCCCCCCAGAGTGCTGCATATAAAATAAACAACACCTAACAATGAAAACAGTAACACATAAAATTATTGCTGAAAGCACAACAAGCGCACATAACCTCACATAATAATAAAATTGTTAACATTATAAAATGCAGTAATACCAGTGGATAAAACTATCTGCCATCAGTTAACAAACTAAAGTGCCAGACTGTGTAAACAATCATCACATACACCCATTTCAGTCTATTCAAGTTCAAAGGCCTGTTAAAAAATCCATGTTTTTAGGCTAGATCGAAAGGATTCAAGGGTGAGGGCTAATCTAATCTCTTTTGGGAGGTTATTCCAGAGCTGGGGAGCCACCACTGAGAGGGCTCTCTCTCTCTCATTCCCACCAACCGTACTTGGGACGGTGGTGGGACCGAGAGAAGGGCCTCCCTGGCAGTTCTCAGAGCCCGCATGGTGGTCTTTATGCCAGTATGTGATCCATTTGTTACTGTTCTGTAGTGAGTTGTGACTGATGGGTAGTCCCTTGCACATTAGGGAAACAAGTTCCCATTCCCCACAATAGATTCCCAAGAAAGTAGATTACATTTCCTTTCCTTACTGTGAAAATAACCGAGGTGGGTGGTTACTGTGCAACTTCAGCACCTTTTAGATGAGTGATTTTTGAAGATCTATTTCAGCCCATTTTCTAGCCTTGTTGAAATATTGTTGGTCAGCCTAATGTTGTGTATAGAGCAGCTATCTAGCGTACCATTATGATAGGCCCATTTTTAAAAACTCTTTTCTCCTGCCAGGCTGCAAGGATGTTTCTCAGGGTTGAAAACATCTTTTAAATCTGTTTTGGGACCTAGTAAGAAAGGCTTCTGATTAAACCACCACATTCTTTTAGCAGTTTTGCTGGGGTTGGCTTATTTTATTTTATTTTGGTATGGTTATAGGACTCCTGGGTTGCTGAATCAGTGTCTGGGATCAGTAATAGGATATGTGAGTACTGTTCCTGGCAGGATACTTTTGTAGTTGGCAGGACTAAAGCATTATTATATTCTTCTTCGGGAGGAGAAAGATGGTTCTGTGATACAAGATGCCATTCGTGCATTGAGATTGATGAGCCTACTGTGGCCTTTCCTGGATAGCCTGGTCATATTGCTTCATATTCTCCAAGTGTTCAATTTGGATGAGTGCAGTTTGTTAGTCTGCTTATGAAGAATGTTTGGAAACAAATTGGAAAATGTGGTAGTGGGACTACACATCTAGGAGTAAGGAATAATCTTAATTGTCTCAAAAACAACTACATTGGCACTTGATTCATTCCTGTGCTGAATTCAAGATGTTTCTAATTATCTTGGGACCAGGAAACCTCAAGGATTACTTTTGCCAAAGAAACTTGCACTGCATGTATGATGTTTTCCTTTTCAGGTGCTGCTGCCTTCAGGGGAACAGGGCCTTTTATTTTGCATTTATTTGGAGTATTTATGCCCTGCCTTTCAGCCAAAAAGTCTCATAGAACAGATTACGAATTCTTAATTTGACTATTCTCTGATGTCAGACATACCATCCAAAATGTATATTTTTGTCTCAAGGATCAAGTGTCTTTTTGGACACTTTGTTTTTAAGTACATGCATTGGATTGATTGTTTCTTCCTAAATGCTCTTCTAGTGTATTTACATATTACTGATTTTATCTTTCAGTTATAATTTCTACTAAAGTGGTCTGGCAAGCTGTTAGTTATGATGCTGTAAATTAAACTCAGAGCTACATAACAATTTTCTATTCACGTTTACTGCCATGGTGCTTTTTCCATAATCATAAATGTTCCCAAAACCCATTTTAAAAACCAGTCATCCTGAGTAATGGAATTCTGTGGTTGCTGTGAATTTTCCGGGCTGTATGGCTATGTTCCAGCAGCATTCTCTCCTGCTTTTCACACACATCCATAGCAGACATTCTCAGAGGTTGTGAGGTCTATTGGAAACTAGGCAAGTGAGGTTTATATATCTGTGGAATTTCCAGGGTGGGAGAGAGGACACTTGTCTGTTTAAGGCAATTGTGAATTTTGCAATTGGCCACCTTGATTAGCATTTAATGGCATTGCTGCTTCAAAGTCTGGCCTGAGGGGATCCTTTGTTGGGAGGTGTTAACTAGCCCTTGATTCTTGTCTGGAATTCCACTGAGTTGCTCCTTTATTTGCTGCCTTATTTTATTTATTTATTTATTTATTTATTTATTTATTTATTTGCTGCATTTGTTGACCGCCGCTCTCAGCCCTGGGGCGACTCGCGGCGGTGTACAACATATAAAAAACAGTTTACAAAAGCACACAATATATCAACAAACCATGTTACACATTAATCTAAACACATTAACAAATCCGCACCGTCACAACATAGAATCATAGCCAGTCTCATTATCCATAATCCGTTCCAGTTGTCATTACCAGATTCGTGTTTTAGAGTTTTTAATACTAGTAGCCAGATTTTGTTCATTTTCATGGTTTCCTCCTTTCTGTTGAAATTGTCCACATACACACACACACACACACACAATAAAACAACAGGGGAATTCTAGACAAGAATCAATCCAGGTCAGCTAAAACCTCCCAACAAAGGATCCCAAGTCAGGCTTTGAAGCTGCAAGGCCATTCAGTGCTAATCAAGATGGCCAATTGCTTGCCTCAAGCAGACAAGAGTTCTTTCTCCCACCCTGGACAGATACATAGACCTCACTTCACCTAGTTTCCAATTGAACCCACAACCTCTTAGGATGCCTGTCACAGATGTGGGTGAAATGTCAGGAGAGAATGCCTCTGGAACATGGCCATACAGCTGGAAAACTCACAGCAACCCAATGATTCCAGCCATGAAAGCCTTCAACAACACATTGAATTTTGTGGTGCTGGCAGGTGGGGTCGCAACATCTTTTGGCACCACAGAATTGTGTAGCCCAGGACAGCTGGATTTAAGGTAGGTTTCAGGGGTTGAAGCATCACTAAATATCATAGCAATGCCTCTGATGAGGATCTCAACCATGGTTTGCATCAGAGTCAAATGCCTAACATAACCTTGATTTGTCCTTACAGATCTGTCTGCAAGAGTAGATGCTGTCAAAGAAGAAAATTTGAAATTGAAATCAGAAAATCAAGTTCTTGGACAATATATAGAAAATCTCATGTCTGCCTCTAGTGTTTTTCAGACTACTGACACAAAAAGCAAGCGGAAGTGAGGCATCAAAAACCAAACTATCATGTTGTGTTGTTGCTGCTGCTTTTAATTTTAAATTGCATAAGGCTACATAATATTCTAGATGGTAGCATCATTGAATATTTGAAGATTTGATGGCAGTGCTAGACATTTTAAACCTTTCTCAATGAACAAGTAAACAGTGCAAGTCTTGGTGTTAGTTTTCAGCAATGTGCAAAGATAACGTAGAGAAAACATTGTACAGTCTGAAGACAAGTGCTTTTGAAATGAAACATCAGTTTTTATGTTTCAAATGTCATATATTGCCAGGTACTTTAAATATCAAACATTTTACAGTGGTACTAGCAAAATAATACAGTGTTGTGTAGAGTGGTGTGGAAATCCTTGTTTGGAATGAGTTATATGCATGACTTTCCCTTGGCTTCCAAAAGGTTTAACTCCTTTCTCTCCATCCCTCTTGATGATGTTCAGAATTATTCCAGATAGAAGCAAACAGTGACTTGTTTTTGTTAATACGTCAAAGCAGGTTAGAGACTTATTAGTTTGATGTGATTGTTTGCACAGTTGTAAAGTGGGAGAAACATTGTATAACTTGACACAGCTCTTTAGAATGAATGAATTATAACCTTTCAGTCCTGCTTCAAAGTATAAAGCATATGAAAGGGAACATGGGCCTTTAAAGAACAGTTAGTTGCATGACAGTTGTAATAGTCATAAATGCACAAGCTTAACCTTAATTTTCAATGAAGATGTAGTCTTAATTAGCATTTAGCTGCCACATATCTTTTAACTTTCAGGGTCAGAATAAAGTTGCACTTTTCCAGGCATGAACAGTGGCATACCTCTATAAAGAAACATTAGCCATTTCTCCCAGCCTACCTGATAACATTCAGTTAGTGTGGCTTCAGCAAGGTGTATGGGAAGTACCAGCAGTTAGGAATAAACAGTCAAACTGATTGCATTGTATATTTGCAGCCTCATATTATGGAATACACAAGTTATGTGAAGTAGAAAAAGCATGACAAGCTTGTAGTTTTGATAAATGCACTGAGAAGAAACATTTTGCATTGCAATTGAGTTGATAGGATGTTAGGAGATAGGGCAGGCATGGGCAAACTTGGGCCCTCGGGGTGTTTTGGACTTAGGCTGTTAGGGATTGTGGGAGTTGAAATCCAAAATGCCTGGAGGGCCAAGTTTGCCCATGCCTGAGATAGGGCTATGTGAACCGAAATTGCTTCTAGCTTGGTTTGAATTCATCTTGGAAGCACTTCTTTAAATCAGGGTTTTTGTGAGATTCTATTTTGTGCTTTTTCTTTTGGGTAGATTGCTGAATGTTTTTGAAACCACATGTCCAGTTGAGGAAGAATCCCTGCAAACAGTATTCTAATTTCCAGTATTGACTATACATTGCATAAGAACCCAAGATATCATTGAGTCCCAGCTATCAGTATTAAGTGTTTCAACTTTCTGTCAATAGAAGAAAACCACCATCTATGACAATGTAGGGATTTATAGTTCATAACAGGAAAGAGTATTCAAGCAAGATGATTTTTTTAAAGGCCAGTTTAAATGATCGTTATAGGAAAGTGGTTTTCCACTTTTGTGTGTCCAATGAATTGTTTCCACACTGATTTGTTGCCAAATAGCCTTTGTGTCTTGATATAGAAACTGGTTTTGGAAAGGATGGGATTTCTAGTGCTGTATTTGCTTTGTGAGGCAAGTTTAACTGAGTGGTGCCTTGTCCTAGCCAACACTCCAGCTGAACTGTGGGCTGTGAACAACATACAATATTGTATGTTGTCTATTACAGAGAAATATTGGTAGTTAGGCAAGCTGTCTTTAGTGTTGAAGAATTCCAACATCCATCAGAACAGCAGCATGAAACCTTTGATCCTCCAGAGGTTTGGATCATAATTGCTTACTCATTATAGTCACACAGGCTAGAATTTCTGTGACTTTGAGTCCACACATGTTAGGCTGGTGTTACCCTAGTACTGCATTCATTTCAAACATCCATTGCTCTATAGTCCTGCTTACATGAACATCGCCTTCTGAAGTTGTGTGCCTGATGCTGGTTACTCTTGTCAGAATAGCTAACTTCTGGTAGTGGAATTTGGAAATTGGTGGAAGTGTAATCTTTTGAGCTGGAGGCCATTTCTGTTAGTGCAGATAGTCTTGTATCATCTAGGTAGCTTAATAAAAAGAGTTTACAGTTATGGCCAGTCAGGTAACCTTTGTTTGATTGTTAACATTTCAGACATTTTGATTAACTATTGAACAGAGTGATTTTTATTTTTCTGGCACTCTTCCTCTCTCTTTCTCTTAAATCCAGAAAGCTGTCAAGGAATTGCTTGATATGTGTTTTGAAGGTGTATTCATAGGAAATACTTCCAACATTTTAAGTTTAACATTAAATCATGCAACTTGCAGTTTGGGAAACTGCCATTTAAATATGATTGGGTAGACAATGTAACTCTTGATGTCCTAGATATTTCTTACTGTGAAGAACTCCACTGTTGTGGCCTTTGTTGACTTAACAATTGTTACTCCAGAATTTACACTAAATAAAAGCTTTAAAATTTCTCTGTTTTGGCTTACTTTTTTAGTATTCTAAACTACGTTAATAGTAAATGATGCAGAAAAGTAAACTATAATCCTTGCTCCTAGTCATTGCTTTATTTCTAGACATGCAGATTCTTGGAAGACCCTGACTAATTGAGTCCTTCTGCTTTCCTTAGCATGCTTTTATATACAGGCAATCTCCGAGTTACAAACACATGACTAACAAACAATTCATAGTTGAGAACTGGGGGAACAGACTGACAGGTCAGGAAGTGAGAGAAACCTACCCCAAGAAAGGGAGATTCACTGCTGAAGGAATTATCATGGGAAAAGGTGTCTCAATTGAAACTTTTTCACCAATCCTTGTTCCACAACAAGCCACATTTTTCAAAATCTATCACAAGGAAAGTGAGGTGAAATCTTCTGAACAAGGGTATAGACAGCAAAACAAACGTTACAGCAAACGCTTCCCTATGCTATGGAAAACACACGAACACATATATAATGTATGTATGTCCGGCTGGAGTTACATTTGAAAAAATGTACCTATTCTGACTTACATACAAATTCAACTGAAGAACAAATCTACAGAAACTATCTTTTTTGTAACTTGGGGGCTGCCTGTACTATAATCACAAACACCCATTTTAAACCATTTAAGATCTTACCCGTAAAATATGTATTTATTCAGTACTCATGGGAAACGCACAGACTTGTTATGATCACAAAATGATTCAGTCATTACTGCTTCCCTTTAAAATAAAGCAAGAGTGGGAATATTCTAAAATGTGTTGGGAATGCAAATTCCAGCAAAATTAGTCAGCTTAACCACTGCTGAGTTTACTGCTGAGAGATGCAGTCCATCAGCTTCTGCTAGGCCACATGATTCTCATGTCCAATAGGCATATTCATGCAGAACACACTCTTATCTGACACAGTAATACCACTAAGAGCTTCACAGATTCACCCCTTTTCTTTGGAGCAATTAATTCCATGATTCAGATGCTCCTTTTTATGCTGCACAACTACATTTTTTGAAAACCTCAACACAGAACAGTGTGTCAAGTTATGGTTACTTGAGTCAGGTTTTTGAGCCCAACAACCAGACTGTAACAGAAACCAACAGAAAGGAGAAAACCATGAAAATAAACAAAATCTGACTACCTGTTTTTAAAACCTCTAAAATCAGGACAGTCAATAAAGAGCAAAACTCAAAAAAAGGATGGGAATTCCAGACAAGAATGAATCAGGGCTAACTAATATCTCCAAAAAGGATTCCTCCTGGCAGCAGGCAGACAGGCTTTGAAGCTACAAGGCCATTAAATGCTAATCAAGATGGCCAATTGCAATATTCAATCTTGCCTCAAGCAGACAAGAGTTCTTTCTCCCATCCTGGACATTCCACAGATATATAAACGTCACTTGCCTAGTTTCCAACAGACCCCTCAGCTTCTGAGGATGCCTGCCATACATGTGGGTGAAATGTCAGGAGATAATGCTTCTGGAACATGGCCATACAATCTGGAAAACTCACAGTAACCCAGTGATTCTGGCCACAAAAGCTTTCAACAAGACAACCAGACTGTAGTTTGTTAAACAGCTACAAACCAGAATTAGAAACCATGGCTTCCGTTTGCTTCAAAACTCCAAATTGTTTAAGCCATGACAGGTGATATCCAAATCTCAAGCCATGCACAGTCCAGGATAATTTCCCTAACTGCCCACCGTGAGAGTGGGAACTGAGGAAAAGGGGCAGAGGAGAAATGGAACACAAATGGGAAAAGCATTTCTGGAAGTTCAAATGCTATTCTGAAATTTGGAAGACACCACGAGGTGTCGTGAAGTTTGAGAAATGCATGACTGTATTTCCAAAGATGAAATGTTCATAGCAGTCCCTCTTCAACTTGATGCCCACTACACATTTTGGGCAAAACGTCCCATGACCACAGAACAATAATGCCTTGGGCAGATTAGAATTGTCTTCCAACATAGTTGAAGGACACAACAAGTAGGAAAGGCTGTTTCACCACATGATGATTAATTTATTTATCTGGTAAACCTTTTCAATAATAAGTTTTAACTTGAGCAGTACAGATTATATTAAATATTTTTTATTTAGGAGGCCATTTTTGTAAACGGATCACACCATTTGTAAACGGATCACACCATTTTGAATTAAAACACAAATCTATAAAAATGTGGAAAAAGTCTCCCAGACACCATTTTACTTGAAAATCATGAACACTGTTGCATTCAAATGTAAAACACATGCTGATCTATCAATTAATGACAATGTATCTGTCTATAAAACAAACAGCAGCAACTGTAACAAATGTTAAACTAACATGACAAAAGAACTATAAATAGACTTCACAGTAAAAATGTTAATGAAATAAATAAAAACAATTATTGCAGCCAGCTCAGCACAGACTTTGTTGTCAACTGCTTTTCTCAAAGCATTTTTCAGTGGATATTGAAATGGTGTATTCCTTTATTTCAAAACTGTAGAAGCAGTATTTGTGCTAAAGCTAGAAAATATATATATCAATTCACACAAACTTTTCAAAAGGTCAAATTTTGAAGCCAAAATTATTTCCAAACCATATTTATTATCTAAATAGCTTCAAATAATATTTACAATAAATAATTTATCTCACTATTTTTTCTTTTATTTTTTAAAGTAAAGGAATGGGCAATTTCACAAGTAGGTTGTTTTTTCTAAGTAAAGGAAAAATCCTATAAGATTGGGAAGGGCTCAAAAATGGAAACAGAAGCCTAAGTGGAGTTCCATCTTTTAATTCAACCTGCATGCTGTTAGACAATATAGCATGCCTATGCCTATGTTCTGTAACCAGGAACCATAAATATAAGCTGGAAATAAATTAGTCCTTTCGTACTCTTCTTTTCCGTACTGATTTTGATGGCCCGTCACCAGATCCTGTGCTTTCATCTGCATCTTTCATCTGTATGGGAGAAAATACAGAATCAAAACAGTTTTTCAAGTTTTTCATGTTTCATACTCCGTCTCAAGCATATCGAAATGTTAAATTTGATTCTTAAGATACTTCTCTTTTGAAAGGGGGAGGGGAGAGAGAAAAATTCTTGAATGGAACCATGGAAGCTGAGAGGCAAAGGAAACAAAAGCCTGGGATACCTTCCCAATTGAATAGTGTTATCTAGTATCTACCTAAAAACAGTCCTACATTATCTACTGAGGTCTACCATGTCTGCCATAAAATATTTGTACATTACAAACAATTCTGGAACACGTTATAAATAAATACAGCTTTTGTTAATCTATCTAGGAATTTTTAAATTCACTCTCCTCACATGACTCAGCCTATATTTTGTTGAAATTGTCTATTTCAGGGAAACTCTACTACTGCGGATGTTCTCAAGGAAGAACCACTGGCAGGGATTACTAGGGTTCCTTAGAAGCAGAAGATGAGTTTTAATACATTTTCTGATTTAAATAGATTATCCAAGTACAACAGATGGCATTATAAATTGACAGTCTCGAAACAATAGCAAGGTAAATGGCTTCCAGGTTATACAGTTCCAGAAGAAATCAATTTAGAATGGTTTGAGTAGAAAGGATAATATCCAGATTTCAGCATGTTCTAACGGTGTAGCACAATTATGTCTTCCTCAGAATTTGTATTTTATTAGAAAGAGGGTTATTTACCTCACTCTTTTGACAGGGCTGCAACATGTCATATTTCACAGAACATATTTGTAAATAAAACAAGTGATACAATGAAACTTCACCTCGTCTTCTTCTGAGACAGATTTGTTGCCTTCTTCTTCATGACTTCCTTCAGCAGCTTCATTCTCGTCTTCATAATCTTCATCTTCAGCACCTTCTGAATTTAAGAGACAGCAGCAATTAGACAGCAAAAGGGCATTTTTTAATGTCAGGAACAACTTGAGAAACTGCAAGTCACTTCTGGTGCAAGAGAATTGGCCGTCTGCAAGGACGTTGTACAGGGGACTCCTGGATGCTCTACCACCCTGAGAAGAAGCTTTTACAGCCAAAGACAATCAGACCAAATATTCTAAAAATGTGAGCCTGACTAATAAGAATTTTAAAAGGAAATTAACTCATAAGCTAAACATACATCTGCAAAATATACATTGCCTTCTGCATTGCTATAACAATTTAAATAAACCAAAGAACTACACAAGGTTTTCAAATGAAGTCTCAGATGCAAGAATTGCAGTGAAAGCTTTGTCTTCTAGTGAAATGGGTAGATAATTACTAAAAGTACAATATTCATTCTCAAATGTGGAAATGAAATAAGTTTTAAAACTCTTGCCTAGAACATTTACACAGTTAAAAACCAATGGCACAATGATTACTTTATAAAGCACCTTTAAAAGAGCATTTTTTTCTTCAAACAATTCTAAATCTTTCATCTGATTACTTTCCTGCATCAAAGGACACTGTAAACCAACCTACAACTAGCTCTTAGATGCAAGATTACAATTGTTTCTAAAGATGAACAGTAAATCTGTGCCACTGCTCTGGAATAGATAATGGAACTATACTAAGGAGCCTATATCCTATCTTTATGCTTCACACCATGCCTGCAAGTATGAAGAAGAAACATGAATTTTAAACACTAAACTCAAAAATCCAATTGCTAGTGCCATCCAGAGTAGTAGTTTCACTAAATCAAGTGCCAACAAGTAAGTAAATATAATTAATTCACACTAATTAGCATTAAAATGTATTTAACATTAGTTTTGCAACATGAACTGTGCTATCGCTGCTAGGAAACATTACTACGCAGCCTTCGAGAGTATAGCCAAAATGTCTTACTACCTTCATTAGGGTTTTCATTTGTTTTCTTTAAATCTTCATCATTTTCAAGCACCTCTTGTTCTAGTTGTCCTTTTGTAAGCGGCTTGGCTAAATCAGTTTTTTTGTAGTCCACATCTTCATCTATTTTCTATAACAAAGACAATTTTACAAGAAACAAATGTCTTTAAATACTAAAATATAAGTATTTTCAGAAGATGCAGGTCAGTGAGGCAAACTTGCCAAATTGTATGGCTCACCCCTACCACTCCATTGGGTTTTTAGGCCAAAGATCTCACTGAAAGGCTGAAAAAACCCACAACCCTTCTTGGTCTACATAAAAGGAAATGGGGATGTCAGATGAGCTCTCTGTGTACCTTAGATGGCCAGCAGAAAAGTATGCCCAATCCTACTGGAAGTGCTAGCGTCAAGATGTAAACAATCCAAAGCCATGGGCTTTCCTCTGCAGCAGTCAACAACTGGCTAAACATTCCAGGCTGGGTGGATGAGAATGCAAAAGCCATTTTTATCATTGCAATAAAATATTAATTATTTACTGTGTTGTTATTTGGGGAACATACATTAAGTATTATTCTAGTTTTTAGAAAAGTGGCAAAGAGAGGCATCTAAACAGCCACAACTCACCATCTATAATATCCCACCTTGTATCTCATTAAATCAACAAAATATTACTTGATTAGATTCCTAGGGCATATAGGCAGAAATCTGGAACTGTTCACATGGGTAGGTGGTATAGTTACAACTTTGGCTGCATCTACACTGGGAGCCTATCCATGGTGCAAAACTCCAGATTAACCTTGGGGAAGTCTGTACAGCTAGGCACCGGGCTGCTGCAACCTTCATCCCTCCCATCTGCTCTCCCCCCTCCAAATGCCTCTTCATCCAGGCCAATGTCACTCCAGTCAACAAACTATGGCCAACATCCACTTCATGGACTGTAGGTGTCTTTACAAGTAGAATAGTAGCAAGAGAGTAAGTAACATATTGTGTCCCTAGACTGCCTAAACCAGAGGAATGTGGGATGGCTGAGTAAACAGTGGCAACTGGTTCCATGTCAGAATAACCCCGAATGTTTACATGGGCTCGGAATTTGGCTTTGTTCTGGGCTTTCAAAAAAATCTGTGACTTTTTTTATCATAGCTGAAGGCTGTGTTAATTACCGTATTTTGCCAGGTAAAAGTAGTCACCGTGTAATAGTTGCACCCCCATTTTATCCCTCAAAAAGAGAGTGTGCCAGTTACGCTGTGAAATAAGGTAGCCTCTTAACTTGAAACAGCTCCATATGTGCATCATGTAGGCTCTAGGGAATTGATTCTGCCCACTTTTTCAAGATCAAACATTATCACTACATTAGTCCAAGAACTTAAAACATTTTGAGTTGATGTTTGCACAATACTGTTGCATTCTGAACAAAATTCTTAAAGAAAATTTGTCACCAAATGAAGACAGGGCCTTTTATATTAAGACATGACACAACTAACTCTTAAAAAGGAAGGCAGGATGTAGTCTGGAATATGAGACAGTTACTCACTCTGTCATAAAAACTGAAAGAAAACTCATAGTGTTTAAAGCACACAAAGGAAACAAAGCATGTGAGCAGGGTGAAACAATTGGTTTCTCAACAGTTCTATTCTGCTTTTTATAAATTATTTTAGGCTCCATTTGCCACATAGTGGGACAGTATCCATTCATTAAGTTTTCACCCAAATTATATAACATATTCAGAACAATTAAATGGCAATCCATGACACTAAAAAATTTAACACTAATTGCAACTGAGATACAAGAAAACACATTAATTCTTACTTCGTTGGCACTTGCAACCAATTTTTTAAAACCCCAGCTTTCTGCTGCCCATCGATCAGCAACTTCCTTTTCTGAGCAGATGATGAAGTTATCAAAATAGATATCTGATGTCATAGACCACAGCTCCAAACCAAGAGCACTGACAGGAGTCATTTTGAAAGGATGAGAATCTTCAAAATAGTCAGGATTAGGGATTTTCTGAGGACTCCACACCCCCTGCATGGTGGAAAAAACAGAACAATCATGGTAAAGATGGACATTTAACTATGAGAGGGTATGATATTTATTACTGTAGGTCTCTTGTGGTTTCTCTACAATATCCAAACAAGATTACTATTGGACATTTTTTCATAAATACCTGAAACAGTGCAACTTTTATTCCCAACCCTGAATGGATTTTTTAAAATTCTGAGATGTATAGTAAAAGAAAAGTTCTTCTCTTTTCTTCCTTTACTCCTCAATGAAATAGCCGTTTTACCCAATACCACCATAAGTCTAAGAAAAAAAATTAAAAGGAGGAAATTTTCCCCTCCCAATCAATCATAGGGTCATCTCAGCAAAGCAAATCCCACATTGTTGTTTTGAGAAAAAAAGTTAGCACTTAGTTAGCACTTCAAATGACTGTTTAAAAATGGAATGACTAGAGGTGAAGTTGACAACTGGCAAACCCCAAGTGGTTATACTATACACTTCTTTAGACCAATCTGAAATAGCCCTGACAAATTGCATCACTATTTTTTTTTAAAAAAACGGCCAGCTAACAGAGAACTAAACAATGGTTGTACTCGAAGAACACCAGTCTCCCTATCCCATTATTGTAGATGCTACTCTCATTACCATAATAGCTAAAAATAAGATCCCATTCAATTAAACCGGATTACCAGATTTGAAAAAAGCATTGGTCCACATCTAAACATATTGAGCAAAAATATACAGAAGAACAGGAAGAAGTATTTTATCATTGCACAAATCTCTGTTTCTCACACATCTCTCAACAGCAAAAAAAGTCACCAATTTAACCACCAAAGCAGTGTATTTTTAAAGATCATATTGATGTTAATACCTCTGGATCCAGCATGTAGAAATCCATCTTTAGTTGGATATGTTTGTACGCCCAGATTCTTTGTTTAATCTAGAAGCCAAGATGACTATGATCCCTAAAAACTGTTACACCTTATTGGTGAATTTCTTGTTGATAGAAGCCTAGAAGCATTATTTGTGGATCAATGATAATTTAGCTTTCCAACAATTGGCTCCACTAAACCATTTAAGTATTCTACCTATAGAATGTGGCCTATGCAGCACAAAGACAGGTGAGTAAACTCTGCCTGTCCCAAAATTTCCTCCTAACCATGAAATATTATACTGGGTTCCTGAAGTCTTGTATTGTGTGCCCTCAGCCTGAATAGTTTAGATCTATGGTTCTCAACGTGTGGGTCCCCAGGTGTTTTGGCTTACAACTCCCAGAAATCCCAGTTTACTAGCTGTTAGGATTTCTGGGAGTTGAAGGCCAAAACACCTGGGGACCCACATGTTGAGAATCACTGGTTTAGATCATTTGCCCTGTAGTATACAAGAAATGTCACACTTATGATCCTCTGGAATTCTGATGACCATATCTCTACCTAAAGGGACAAGACCTAAATGAGCTTTTTGACTCTCTAAACTAGGCCAAACTGGGGCACTGTCTACCAACTACTAAAATAAAAAGAAACAGAATATTTACCTCAATGAACTAAAGACTTCTAGTTAAATTTTGTGTAATCCCATACATGTTTACTCACACGAATGTCCCATTAAGGCTTATTCCCACATCAAGTGAATAAAGATATGCACAAGCATGTCTAGAGCATCTGGAATCTACTAAAATTAATGTGAAAACTTACTTGGATTTTTATCTCATGTTTCCACCCCAAAAAAGACAACAACAATAAAAAAAACCCAAAACCCCAAAACCAGCAGCTACCATTTAAAAGTACAAAATTAAAAACAAAAATAAAACCATTATATTAATCACAGTGATCACTCTGGTATTTAAAATCTGCCAATGTCCATGGAAAACGTAAATTTTAGACTGAATTCCACCCACAGTAATAATAACAAATTTCTATGCAACAAAGATTATCCTGCTTTTCGAAGAGCTAATTACACAGATACATGCTGAAAAGGGCACATACAGAGTTGTTTCATCTCCATTATATTTCAATTCTATACACGAATAACAATGTCAGCATTTATAACACTATTTAACCAAAATGGCATCACTAAATGTTTCCTTCCCAGCAGGCACAGGCTTATAGGAACCACACAGAACTTTAGAAAATATCAATGGAAAAATAAAACCTGATAAAGGCCAGTGATGACCACATCTACTTAGAATAGGATGGCTGGCGATGAGAACCCTGAACAGAAGCACACACGAACACTTTGCTACAGTCCCTGAAGTTTAATTTTTATGATTCCCTACACTCAAACCAAAATACTTTACCTCTCATTGCACTACCAGGCACACTGAAGAAAGAAAGAGGTCCCATTACAACATAGCAACAATTAATCAGAATATATCACCTCTTGCAACTACCTGATAATTAGGGTTTTCTATCATAGGTGGTTTCCATTTTCCTTTATATTTTGGATTGGTCATCATGGGTCGTACCCACGTTCCACAACCTGGCGCAGTCTCACATTCTGGATTAGGAATTTGTGGAGCTTCCCACTCACCATCCATATCCTCATCCCTAGAAAATGGGGGTGAAAGTTCAAACACTTCCTTTTTTCTGTATCTAATAGATCATAGATTTTAAATTAAAATATGCATATAATATTATCCCCAGCAAATTGCTTGAACCAGCTAAAAACAACAATCTCTTGATGTCAAGCTAAATGTGAAATTTGCTTGAAAGATTTGGCTTTAAAGAATCGAATAGCTCCCTTCTTACAAATTCTTACTGGTGTGAAATCCAGTTACAAATATGAAGTTGACATTTATGAAAAATCTATAGTTTTCTTGTACATTACATCTTGCATTATTCTAGATCAGGCATGGGCAAAGTCAGGCCCTCCAGATGTTTTGGACTTTAACTCCCACAATTCCCAACAGCCTATCAGCTGTTAGGAATTATGGAAGTTGAAGTCCAAAACACCTGGAGGGCCAAATTTTGCCCATGCCTGATCTAGATAATGAAACTGACAACGGTCTCTTTCCCAAGAACATAATAATATGCACTGCCACTCACTTGACACTGAACATCACTACAGTATCTAAAATATAATGAAACTTGGGGGGAGGATAGATTTAGCAAAAAGTCTGGCACACATGTGGGGGACTACTGTCTATTGATTAACTTTGATACTGAAAAGTCCTGTATTTGTTTAAAAAAATTCTATCCCACGAAGCTATACCTATAATTTGTAAAACTATGTGTGTGTGCACGCGTAATCACATAGGTGTCTATCTATCTATGTTTGTATGTATGTATTTTTCAAAATGTGACTCCTGCCAACAAAGGATCTGTGACCAAACTAAGCACACAGATCCCCCATGACCAACTTTAAAGACTGACGGGGTTTATGGGGATTGACCTTGGATGGTTGGAGTTTCAGTCCATCCAAATCCACAGTGCACTGTTAACTTCACCCATTATGGATCTAAACCAAGCTTGTAACACATATGCAACATCCAAATACTCTCGGGGTTTGGGGACAGACAGACAAACACAGGATGCTGGGAGCTGTAGTTTACCATATTCAGAAAACATTGTGAACTTTACCAACGATGGATCTGGATCAAATCAGGCACACTTGTCTACCATGACCAACTTAAACTACTGGTGGGATCTGGACACAGTATGTTGGAAGTTGCAGTTCACCTGCATCCAGAAATTTATGTGAATCCCATGAACAGAGAGATTCATAAGATCCAAAACCGAACAATGACTACTTCTAGTGTTTACCCAGGTACCAAAACTAGTAAATGTTATAAAACAAACTAAAAGACAGAAAAAGCATACATTAAAATGCCTACAAGCATTGCCATCATAAATAGGCATTCTTACCAATCTTCTGGTTTTATTGCATTAGGATCTGGGATGTACTCTGGTTCATCATCAAGCCAACCTTCAGGTTTAATAGCACCATCATCTTCAATTTTGGGTGGCTCATCTTCATCCCTTTGCGTTACAGATCAGTTTTAACAGAAGATGGACAATATAGTAGTAAGACACCCCAAAGTGTAACTGAAATATTTTCAAACATCAAATCAAGGGTATATCTTTTTAATACCACAAAGTCCTTTATACATAAAATCTCCAAGACAGAATTATAACTAAGCCGATATACAGGTACTATTTAAAAAAACCCATCACTAAAACATTCTAGAAGTTCTCATTTCACTATATAAATCACTACTATCAGGAGGATGACACTATGGCAGTGTCCCAACTGCAAATCTTTATAGAAACTTTTTAAAAAAGTCATTTCTACTCCCATAAAATCAAAATGCAAACCAAAGAAAGTTTGTTTACTATTTAGTAATGAGGTAGAAGAAAGATGGAAGGGATATAGACCATCTCTGGTTCTCTTTACCAGTCATCTGGCTTGACAGCATCAGGATCAGGAATTTTAGACCGCTCATCCCAGTCTTCTGGCTTTCTATCTGTGGGATCCTCTATTTCTTTGGGGGGATTCACAGGGGGAACCATATCTTCCAGGAGACTTCCTTTGCTGACAACAGTTTGATCAATTAATATTTCAAATGTGTCATCAGGATTTAGCACTAGAACACAATAAGTAAAATGGAAACTTACACAGATGTTAAAGCAAACTCGTTCTTTGCTTATAGGATGTACATCATTATAGTAAGAGCTGTTTAAGCGTGTAGTTTAAGTCCATTTTGGATGCACTTCTGTCATACTATTGAATTCAAACTTAACATGATTTTCAACCATTCAATTTAATATAGAGATTAAAACACAAGCATGTATTTGGAAAGAGACAGACTTATTGACATGAAAGTAATGTTATATTATTTTTTAGGATTGCAGCATTAATGTGAGAGGATTCTGTATGCTATACATATATCAATGCTATTAGTAGTAGAATTTTTGTCACATTAGTCTATAGACAATAGCAGGATAATTTAAAATGAAAGAATTCAGTAACGGATATCTGGTCAATAACTATTATAAATGGTTATTAGGCTTATGTTTTTTTTCTTCTCTTAAGAAATGCTTTAAGGCAATGTAATATTTTCTGGAAAGCTCACTCATCAAAAGCACTGCATATAACACACAAAGAACATAATCTTCTGCATGTTTACTCAGAAATTAGAATCTATCAGGTTTAATGGGACTTTCTTGGGGTTTGATGCCACTTTAATTGCTGTGGCTCAATGCTACGGAATCCTGGGATTTTTAGTTTGGTGAGGCACCAGAACCCTGGCAGCAAAAACTAAATACCTTGTAAAACCACAGCTTGAATGATTTAATAGTACTGTGCCATGTCCGTTAATAGTGTCCTAATTATATATCAGTTATGGATACTGTAACCTTTTTTGTAAACATAAGCACGTAAATGTACCAAGAGTATACAGATGGGTCTTCCTGTCTGAGTACATTTTTTTAAGGTCTACATCAGGTCGTTTGGCATGTTTTTCTTCATAGTCTCCAGTTTTAGGATGTTTATGTCTAAAGATAAAATGTAACTTGTAATCTTCTCCACATTTATCTGGTCCAAACATAATTGTGTACGATGTTTTGTCGTAGAAGTACTCCTGCAGAATGAAAAGGAACATAGTCGGTTTGTACAACTAAAAGCATTTTATATGACACTATTCTGACATTTGTAGGAGCTTGGTTTTACCTCTACTTTGTGACAAATGATAATATGACAGAGTTAAGGCTATCAGTATTTTAAACCTATATCTCAGTTCCTCCTTGAAATGATGGATAAAAGCTGTGAAGGTTAAAGAAAGGAGTAACTAAAACGGTAAAGATTTCCCTGACATTAAATCTAGTCGTATCTAACTATGGGGAGTGGTGTTCATATCAATTTCTAAGCCAAAGAGCCAGCATTGTCGATAGACACCTCCAAGGTCATGTGGCCAGCATAACCATAACATGTGGCCACAGACATTAGATCAGCTCCATCTCTTCCGCAAAAAAAGTAAAAACCTGGTTATGTGTGCAGGCTTTCGAATAATTGTGCAATGACTGGTAATGACATAGGAACGGAACAATGGATGATGAATTTGGATCATGTTTTTTAGTGATGAGACGCCAGTGAATGGTTATTATAGTAATTGTGTATTAATTGTGTATTAGATTAGGTTATTAACTGTTTTATATTGGTGTTGAATTTTGCTGTGTCCTGTGTCTTGTGAACCGCTGTGAGTCGCCCTCGGGCTGAGAACAGCGGTATAGAAGCGTAGTAAATAAATAAATAAATAAATAACTGCATGGAGTGCTCTTACCTTCCCGCAGAAATAGTACCTATTGATCTACTCACATTTGCATGCTTTTGAACTGCTAAGTTGCCAGAAACTGGAGCTAACAGCGGGAGTTCACCCCACTCCCCGGATTCAAACCGCCAACCTTTTGGTCAGCAAGTTCAGCAGCTCAGCAGTTTAACCCACTGTGTCACCAGGAGGGCCTTTACTTAGATATTGAGTTGCTGCTTAAAATACTGCTGCTGCTGTTATTGTTTGTGTGCCTTCAAGTTCTACTAATTGTTGCTACTATTACTACCTTAAGCTATATCACACATTTTCTTCAAAATTGGGATTCAAGGAAGCTAGCTATACTAAATCAGATTGAATTTTAACTGTAAGTAGTGCAGCATGTGAATGAAGCTGAAAGTTTGGGGGAATACAAAAAGAGCTTGGGCCCTCCTTGTGACTTCTTTTCTCACCCATGCTTGACAACCTACTGTGAGGATTAACACTGCGGTATAGACAACTATGAATGCTGTCTTGAGCTCCTTGGAAGAAAAGTGGGCCAGGATGAGAGTTGTAGTCCACTCACATCTAGAGAGCCATATGTATTTCTAATGGAATCATTTATGCTTTATTCATTTCCTTTATTCTCTGAATGACAGAAAATACAGATAAGTGGTGAATACTTTAGTTCACAGAAAGTTCATCTCATCAGTGCATTGCATCTTCTGAATGTATGCTGCAAACTGTCTTTTGCATCCGCAAATCCTGCATCCACAGATTCAACCATTCACAACAAGAAATTATCCTCCCGTTCCCCCTTTTCCAAAACAGAAACCTCGATTTCCCATTTTATGAAAGGGACAACATTTTACTATGCCAGTGTATATAATGGGACATGAGCATCCACAGATTTTTGTATCATTTGCATGTGTGTGTGTGTGTGGGGAAGGGGGGGGGGAGGTATTCTGGAACCAAATCCCAGTGAATACCAAGCATTCACTATATGTTGTGTAATTTGCTAGTGTAATAGGTATATAACATACAAAGGCCAAATTATACCTTGTGCATTTACTAATTCCTCATTTGATGAAGATATAGCCAATAACAACTTGCATAAGATATTGGTGGTTTCTTTCCTAACATTAAAGCACATCTAATCACTCTCTCCTACAGACTACATACCAGATTCAAGTCATCACTTTTGGAAAGAAGCTTAATGTATGCACCACCACAATCAATGCCATCTTGAAAATTCACTTCATACCTGCACAACAGAAACACAAGAACACTCTCATAGAGATACCTGCTAATTACATGTGCACTCAACAAATAGTTTTTGGTTACTTCAGCCTTTGTTAACAACAAGGTATTAAATGTAGTGGGATTCTTTCCCTTCTCCTCCACTCGCATAACTGACCTAGGCTGTGTCTACACCAGCCAGATTATACCAGTGTAAATTTGGTCTGGAGAAACCCTGGATCCATCTCAAACTCTGCCCCCTGTGTCGCTGCTGCCACTCCCTGCTGATCATGGGATCCACTGCGAGCACCTTTCATTTTTGATCTCATAAGAGGGCACTTGTGTGATCAACAAAGAGGGGTGTCTATCTATCCCCTTCTTTTTTGTTGATCGCACAGGCACCCTTTTATACATGACCATGATAGCCAGGTATTCAGATGGAACCCTATGGCCAGCAGGAAGTGGCAACAACGATCACCTGGAGAACAAGCCATTCCCTTCTCTTGTACTGATAAGCACAGGGAAAAGGACATAGCAGCAGTGTCCATCTGGATAGGGGATTGGTCCAAAACTGAATATTCTCTGACTTTGCTTAAAGCATAGCAAAGGTGGATTACCCGTATATACTTGAGTATAAGCTGACCTGAATATAAGCCAAGGCTCCTAATTTTACCACAAAAAAAAAACCTGGGAAAATGTATTGACTTGAGTATAAGCTGAGGGTGGGAAATGCAGCTGCTACTCGTAAATCTATATAAATAAAAATGTAATGTTCGTTTGTGGTATTCACAGAACTCAAAAACCACTGGGGGAATTGACACCAAATTTGGACACAATACACCTAACAAGCCAATGTATGTCCTTCACTCAAAAAAATTGATTTTGTCATGTGAGAGTTGTAGTTGCTGGGATTTATAGTTCACCTACAATCAAAGAGCATTCTGAATCCCACCAGCGACAGAATTGAACCAGTCTTGGCACACAGTTCTCCCATGACCAACAGAAAATACTTGAAGAGTTTGGTGGGCAGTGTCCTTTGGTTTTGGAGTTGTAGTTCCCCTACATCCAGAGATCACTGTGAACTCAAACAATGATGGATCTGGACCAAACTCTACATGAATACTCAATATGCCCAAAGGTGAACATTGGTAGAGATCGGAGAAAATTATTTATTTATTTTATTTACTGTGCTTATATACCGCAATTCTCAGCCCTTTAAGGGCGACTCATTGCGGTGAATCTTGACATTTGGGAGTTGTAGTTGCTGGGATTTATAGTTCACCTACAATCACAGGGCATTCTGAATCCCACCAATTATAGAATTGGGCCAAACCTCCCACACAGAATCCCCATGTGGGCCACACCAACGCTGGCAGGGGACGGCTAGTCTAAAATAAAAAGGGATACCAATAAAATTACATTAATTACATTAATTGAGGCATCTGTAGGTTAAATGTATTTTGAATATTTACATAAAACTGTAAATTAAGATAAGACTGTCCAACTCTGATTAAATCATTATTCCAACCTTCTTTAATATAAATGTGTTTACATATCCTTCCAATAAACACCATAGTTTATTTTAACAATATATTTTGGGGAAAATGCTATGTGTATACAAATAAGGAAATGTTGAAAAGACTGGCTTGGGAAGGGGGTTACTGGAGAAACGGGACATGACTGTGGTGTGAAAGGGGGACTGGAAACTGGGAAAGGTTTGGATGGAAAGAGGGGCTGGAAAAGTGGGAAAGACCCCAGTCTAGAATGTGAGGGGGGAGGGGTTGGGAAAAGTTGGGGAAACTGAAGTGGGAAAGAGGAGCAGATGGAAAAGATTGGGATGGGGAAAGGAAGATTGCAAAATGAGCAAGACTGAGGTGCAAGGGCGGGGGCTGGAAAGGTGGAAATAGTAGAGTAGGGAGGAGGCAAGTAGAGAAGTGGGAAAGTTTGAGGTGGGAAAGGGGCTGGGCAAGTGGGAAACTGCCATGGGAAAAAGGGCAAGACTGAAATGAGAAAGAGAGGCTAACTTCCTAACTTCCCTCCCACCTCCTTTGCCCCCTTCTTTCCTTTTCCTACTCCTTCCCTTTCTCTCTCTTTTTTCTTCCTTCTTTCTCCCATTACTTCCTTCTTACTCCCCTTCTACCACTAACACTCCATACATTGCACACTGGAATCAATTGGGAGACACTGCTTCTGAGGAGCTGCCACGTTTGCAAAGGAGATGGGCGGCAGCAGCAGCGATTTGCCCCTTTCTTTCCCACTTTAGGGGCCAGGGCCACACTCCTGGTTCACTCCCTTTGCCATTTGAACATGGCAACAGGCACGGGTGAATGTATGCATGCGTGTCTGTTTGCGAAACAGAAAGAAGCAGGGAAAGTAAGGATCACAGCAAAAAGAGAGTAAAGATCACGAGCGGGTAGAGAGCTTGGGGCCAAGAAGGGAGGAGAAGCTGCACACCTTCCTCTCCTCTTCTCTTGGCACAATGACCCAGCTTATACTCAAGTATATACAGTAAATGAAGAAAACTAATTGGATACTAATTAGAAGTTGTTGTTTATCATGGAGACAGACCTCAGTGGATTTGCAGTGAGACTGGGTTTTCTAGCCAGTGCAGATAAGCCTCTGGAGAATAATTTTAATCTGTTTCAAAACGTTAAAAACCACACACAATAATCTAGGATAGATATAGGCAATACAGAATCCCAACACAAATGTTTGTCTAGAAAACCTTTTCAAGTGTAAAAATATACTTACTGAATAATCAGTGGGTTACTATCAAAAACAAATGGCCGTGATAACATAGCTGATATTGCATGATGCTTTGCTACTGATTTCAAAACCAATCCCCTGTCACCAGGGACTACGTTTTCTTTTAATGGTTCTATTTCCCATCTTCCTAAAAGATAATATAGCAAGACAAATGCAAGCAGAGAACACAGTTATGATTTAATACAAGTCATTCTACAAACTCTGTGCAATTCATTATTAGATATAGTTACTTCTCTGTAGACTCTATTTTAAACTAAAAACTTTACATGGGTACCATGAAAAGCAAGTCAGAAAACATACTTTGTGCACAAAATATCACCAGCTGAATGCCCAACATATTCACAAAAGGAAAGGAAATCTTTTAATAAAGTCTGCCAGGAAGACCAGACAACTGCCAATCTAGAAAAAAAAAGTTTGACTTGGTATATGACAGTTTTCAATATTCCTCCACATGTCACAGCTTATAGCAAAGGCATTTTAAGTCTGTTGGTGAGAAATGTAGGCTTCAAAGTAACTCCAGATATCTTAATCACAATTAACACTTTTACACTACAACCACACATCTAAGGCACAAAAATGAAGATACAGTTTGAAAAAGGGAATTGGAATACTATGAATGGTAGCTACTGTCATATTTCTTGTCAGGCCTAGAATGTTGCATCATTTAGTCATACTAGGAGGTGTCAGAAGATTTTTTGGTGGAAAGAGTGATCAATAGGAGGGAATTCAAAATGTGAGGAATGTTGTATTAAAGAAAGCATTCCCTGCCCCCAATGTAAAAGCTAATACATACTGAAAGGCCTGTAATAAAATGAAAAATACACAAGTTTGTGGAAGGCATTCCGTTTATGCTTTACCATCATATTTAGCAATATCTTCATCTGTATCCTCTTTTTTGGTTTGGGACAGAACCCACCTATTGAGAAAATCAGAATTAATCTATGAATATGCGATCTTTTAAAAAAACATTTGAAAGCTATTAATGCCATTTTACTTGAATTTGAATAAAATGTATTTAACTATAAATGAAAATAAAAGACCATTCTTACATATTTTATATCAATTCTAAGTATTAAATTTTCATTTCTTTGAAGTAATAAAATATACCAAATATGGATTATATGAGTCATGGCTGGATTGTATTTTCTTTTTCATAGTATGAGAGATTGATACTCATAATAATAATAATAATAATAATAACTATTATTATTTGTAGACTGCCTTATCTCCCTGAGGGGACAATAAACACTTGTGAGGCTGAAGGAGCATTCCACTAGACATGGGTTAACCCCTTGTGCTAACCAGTTTAAGACAGGATCTTCAGAATTCTGAAACGGTGCTTTAGTTGCTCTTAACTCCCTCTCTCTTCAGTTTTGTTGTATAGCCGTGCTAACCATTCATGGAGCTCCATAGCAGTATTTTTCTTTATTGTTATTCTCTGGGAGGAGGTGAATAGCTGTGTCAGCATCACTGAAATAAGCATTCATGTTGAGTATCAACTTTGCACTCTCAGTGAGGCTAAAGGAGCAATACACTATATATGGGATGTACTCGTCACCATCTCCAGATTGGACTTGAATGCTGTACATTAATTACAGGATAAAGAACTGTGCTACTAGAGGCTCCTTGACGAGGTCTGCATTTGCCTATTATGTCTTACAAATGTGGATGATTCTTCCATCCAGCAGCCTTACACACATCTCTTGTCATCATAGATCTGGTGGAATGATCCCAGGACACATTGAGATCTAGAAACTTTGGCCAAATCACAACTTTGGAAAATGAACCTTTCAACCATCTCAACAGCATATGTTTAGAGGCTTTTTGTCGCATAGTTGTTGGATTAAAGAACATGAAGAAAGCTTCCAACTTCCTTATATGCTTTGTCATTTTAAGTATTCTTTAACTGTCCTTCTAATCATGTCCAATGAATGCCACTTTCTCTCGATCAGATGAGTTGGATTAGGGCAGAATGTGTGTATTTGACTAATTATTCTCATCCATAATGACTTTGGTATTAAAGTCAGATTCATAACCAAGAATAACCTGTCATCTGCATGAATTTGGATTAATGGACAGAGAAGCGAATTCAGAAACCTGAAAAACTGATGTAATCTCCACTAAAAACAGTGCCTTAAAATAACAGATATCATAAAGAAGCTTCTTTCAAAGGTTCAAATGGTTTCCCTATCAAAGCATTTAACACTACATTTAGATCCCAGGAGAAAATATATGAACTAGGTGAAAACTGTAAAGCTGCTCCTTTAAGGTAACATAAGGATGTGAAGATAACAGATTACCTGAGTTTAATAGTGTTGACGACAACACCAACAATTGCCGTCTTAGAGTTTGAAATCTTAACCTTTTCTCCAAAATATTTTTCATGATTGCAAAAAAAGCCAAAATACTTTTCATTATTGCGTCCACATGCAATACTGACTTTCTTGAATAACATTTCCCCAAATTACTTCGTATGTTTTCACAAATACACTGTGTTGAATGACTCCTTGGATAAAAATGGTGATTGTTATTGAATCAGACTAATTTTGCTTTATCAAGTTTCTCTATTCAAATTCCATGCAACTAATTTTAGCCAATCTGGATTTGGATGCATCATTTGCCCCCAAATAACAAATCTTTCGAAGTCAACATGGGAACTTGCCAAAATTCTCATCAGTAGCTAAATCAAGGACTGTGGGGCCAAAATGGAGCAATCAGAATTATATGCACTTTTTTCTTGCTTGATTATTCTCAGCACTCTTTGAATTATTGCTTGTAGAAGAAAAGCATATAGCACACCCTTCCACTACTTACTTGACAACAAATCCTGGCATTTTGCATTTGGATTTCCATCTATTATCATGAGCTTTTTCAGTCTGAAATTTCTGCCAGAAGTTAAAAGGTGCATCACAAGGGTTCCATACTTTCTTTACAAAATATTGAATATAATTTTTTTACAACTCCATTGTACTGCCATTATCTTGTTCTTGCTCACTGTCACATTCAATATTCCTTTTAAAGTGAATTGCTTTTAATTATAGCAGATGTTTCTCTGCTCATTTCAAAATGTTGTTCAATTCCTATATCACGATCTGAGATCATTATCTCCCTTGTTGCATAAAAAAACACAGGGTCTGAGCATATTGGCATTCTAATATTTCATCACTTTGGAGACATGCAGTAATGCCAGTTGCATCACTCTTATTTCAACGGATTGATACTTAAGATGACTCCAAAGTTTCCTATTATCCCTGTGCAAAAAGACCCTTGCAGTGAGCTCCTCAACTGGTATCCATAATCACTACTGTTTTCTGTTAAGGGACAAAAAGGTTTCTTTTGTTGACTGAGTCTTCAGCCACCACTTCCAATCTTTCCAACAGTCTGTGGTAGTGCCAATAAAAAGCTTCTCTTTTGTATTATCACCAATTAATAAGGTCTCAGAAAAATCTGGAGAGATCTTGTGTGGATCAAGGTTGTATTGTTGAATTCAGTATACCAGCATCTTTTCCAAACACATCACATCCATTGATTCTGATACCATCACTTTTAACTTTACTTTCCTGTCCTCTGAAAGATACAACCTTTTGACATGTCTCGGCACCCAAGTGTGTGAAGGTTCTTGTCACTACTAAATGACTCTTTTTGTAATATACCAAGAATTCATAACTCTCTAATGTAATGTCATTTTGAGATCCATCTCCACTTTCTCCAAAATGTCATCTAGACAGAGAAACCAGAACAGTTGATGCTGTTGTAGAAAAGCTATTGTTGGCATAAATAGTTCAGTAAATGTTCAAAAAGCAGTGTCTTGAACTGGAAGACCATTCTGCATTCACATGTAATTCAGCTTCTCGCAAATCTATTTGTAATTCAAATTGTCCACAATTGTTTACTAGGTTTCTATCCTGAAATTATTGTTCTGCACAAACCTATTTAGATACTTTAAGTCCAGGACTAGTCTGTGACACTCACTGTGCTGAGGGACCATGCAAAAATAGGGAACAAACTCCCCAAAACTATTATTCCTGTAGAACTTGTTCTATTGCTGCAATCTATACTAAATGGCTGATTTCCTTTGGAACACTCTCTGGCTTCAATATATTTAATACTAGTGATGGTAGAAACCTTCATTTTGGTCTTCTTTGAAACTGTATATTATGTGTTATATGATTCCACAATGAAGACATCTGCCTCCCACCAACATTATGCATGAGTCAGAACTAGGTCCTCCTACCACTATGGAGCGTTTGGCCCTTCTTCTAGACTGCTGTTGCTGCTTGATTGGAATTTTGATCTACTCCACTGAAGTCTACATGGTTTGTAACCATTCTGCTTTTAAATTTGTTTCCTCTACAAAAGGAACAAAGCTCATTCATGTACTCGCCTGTCTGGGCTGAAATATGCGGTATAGAAATAAAGCAAATAAATAAATAAATACTCAACATTCTCTTTTAGATGTTCTTACCCAGACAACATGGCATCATCAAATGTTTCAGCAAAATATACTTCTCCAGTTGGCTTTGGTGTCTTGTACACAACCTACAAAATGTTTGCACAAATTTATTCAGAAGGAGAATTCTGTCCTTCAAGTCAAAGTTATACAGTAAACTGGACAAAGACTAAAGAAAAGTGAAAATGGAAAAAAACCCTTTGCATTGATTCTTCTTTTTTCTTAACATCCCTAACAACTAAATTATCCTTTAGCAATCCATAATTCTAAGGTAAAATTATTGTGGTGTAACAGAAGGGCTGCGACCTCTTCTACACTGGCATATACAATCCAGATTATCTGCGTTGAACTGAATTATATGGCAGTATAGACTCTACTTTGATAACCTGGATTTTATTTCAATGTAGAAGGGGCCTGACTTCTGGATATCTTGCAACTTGATAAGATAAAGCAATGTGAAATACTTTTTAAAGTCCTCATACATGGTATTAGGAAGTTCTATTAACAATGCTACAGTACATCGGAGAAACAAATTTTATCCAGATAAGCAGCTAAATGGCAAATACGTATATTACCTTGTCCACAAGCTAATACTACTTCTGAGAAATATTATATGCTACATTTGCCAGGGAAGAGTTTTCTGTTTTGTTTTTTTTAAAAAAAGAACATGCTTAGACTACATTACTAACAGTCATAGCATTCTGTTTTATACCCTTGCTGCATTTCTACCCTCACTGGGTTACACTGTTATCAGCACAAGACAGTAGCAGCATCCATCTCCAAAAATGTTTTATCTACAAAACATTGCTTAGGACAGCACATATATTAATACGCACAACCATGGACAGAGTAATGAAAGATGCAATGACAGTGTTATTTTATTGTGGCTATGCCTGATGTTTAATTTTAAGGTACGTCTAATCTAAATATTAAAAGCCATTATTGTTACTCTGCCAAACAATTATTATATGTCTTCAATTCTAAGACACACTTTTATATAAACATGTCTAAAAGCTAGGTACATCTTAGAATCACAGGTGTATCTTATGTATTTTTGCTGAACTGAAATAAGAATCCATCTTACAATCAATGGTGTCTTACAAATTGAAGAAATACAGTATTATAGTATTAATGCTTTTAATTCCTGAAATACGCCACATTTATAAAGTCAAATAGCACTACAGGTCTTCAGAAATAGTAACATGAATCCCCATAGGCAGTATAATTCATAAAATCCATATATGCTTTTCGAAAATAGTTATTTTCAAAAGTGGCAGTTTTGCACTAATAACATGAGTTCTGATTTTGTTTAAAATAGCATTATATAATAGACAAAATATATGTTGAAAGTGGCAATGAAAATTTAGATTTTGACATTTAGATTACTCATAATCTAGTTGCTGAACATTATAAATACTACAGAGCAATAGAATACAAAGTCAAACACCAGTTCTTGATAACTAGGGTCCTTTCTATTGGAACAGAAAATCAAACAACTAATTAATTAAATCACTATTTCGCATTATATGGATGGATGTTAATGAAACTGGATAGGACTAGGCAAAGAATGAGCAGCCATACTCGAACATATAGAAAATAATGTCATCATAAAGTGGATGTGGATTTTCTCAGTTTTATAAGATAATACATATTTGACTCAGTTTAATCTTCAACTGTTGTCCATATGGCATAATCTATCTTAATAAAACTAGGTCTCCTATTATAGGTATTTAAAGTTCACACACAATTCATACAAGAGAGTGTGGAGCCAAAACATGATGGATATTATTGTCTGCAGACAAAAACTAAGATAACTTTATGGTGAAACATAAAACTATCTGCATAATAATTATGTTCATAAACACAAAGAAAACACCCGAAACTTTGATCACTATGTTCTTAGAATATACTGAAACAATAAAAAGCTCTATGTAGCTTAATAAACTCCCAAGAGCTTAGAAAATTGTGCTATTTGATTCCTAAAAGCTACAATAAACTGAGCATTTATAGACAGTATTTTTGTATTACTTCATTCACAAGGGCTCCTAAAGAAATAAACAAATATAAACAAAATAAAAATATGAAACATTTAAAAACGTATTAAAATACTATTTTAAAAATCCCAAAAGCCACCTTAAACATTTCTAGAATGTAGCTTTAAAACAGTTAAAATACAAATTTCAAATATAGAATGCCATGCAGGACAACAATGTTTTGGCTGCTCACCAGAGGCTTAAGAAATATTAGTCTAACTTCCTTAGATAAGGAGTACCATAACTGAGACACTGATATAGAGAAAGGCCTACAATAAGTGATGCTAAAATTACTATCTCATATTTTTAGAATTTAGCATAGAAATTAAACTTACCTCTAAGGGGGATCTACTTCTGTCAATATTAGAATCTAGTGAATTCTTGCCGAAATTTTCCACTTCAATTTCCGAATCTTCAGATTCTGCACTAATTGAACTTAATAGTAAAACACTCAAGCACAGCCAATCCCAATGAAATTGCATTCTGACTACCTGTAAAGTAGACACATTCTGTTTTTACTCCTTGTCAGCTATCTAAAGTTTTTATAATAAAAGCATATTATTTTTTTCCAATTTACTGAAGTGCAAAAATAAATGAAAATGAAACAGAATTTTACAAAAATGCTCAATACACATTTGAATTCCCAAGAAAGGGGACACCAAGAATTGCAGTGACCATAGGACTATTGCGTTGATTTCCCATGAAGGACACAGAATTGACAGAGTATACATTCAACACTCATGCATGCAAACAATGACAAACTCCAGAATTCATAGCGATACCTTCACGGACCAACTAAAAATTACACATACACACAAATCACACAAGCTTTCAAAGCATCGCTAACTTCTTTGTCAGGCAAATGTATTAAAATCATACAGGAGAAGAAGAAGAAAATAATGGACTCATTTCTCAGAACCATGACACCTTCGTGCACAGGTTAATTCATATGAAAATCACTCTTTCTTGAGTTTATTGTCAAAGGCTTTCATGGCCAAAATCACTGGGTTGTTGTAGGCTTTTGAGACTATATGGCCATGCTCTAGAAGCACTCTCTCCTGATGTTTCACTTGCATCTATACTAGGCATCCTCAGAGGTTGTGAGGTCTTCTGGTCAGTCAAAAGGCTGAACTTAAACTTCAGGGTGAAACTGATTTAATTCTTTGTGTAAGAATCTCATGAGCCTTTAATGGCAACAGAATAGGAAAGTGAATGGATCTGTCACAAAGTCATCTGGGATGCTGTCTAATTGAACATATCAGATTCTGTGTATAGCTATAGATGTCGAAGCGAAAGAATGAAAAATGGTCATAGAACCTTTCTACTTTCCCTGAACTGAAATCAATGGAAATTGCTTTGGGAAATGCAGTTTGCATTGATTTCAGTTTGAAACTACAATTCACATTACAATACTTAAGGTTTTCAAAGTTCGCCAATGCTTTTGATAACAATCTCAGGTTTTGTGAAGGTATATCCAGTCTTTTACCACAAAGTAACATCACAATTAGTAATCTGATCCATGCAGATCTTTATAAACTAGGAGGATCCAAAACAAATATTTTAATTGGTGACATGTTTAGAGTTTCAGTCCATATCCTGGCCATCCTATGGCCACTGAGCAAGTTCTATTCTTCAATTTCCCCACTTCCTCACATGTGTTTATTTTTGAGGATCTTGGGGTTACCTTAAGCCTGTTAATATCTCCCTGTTGTAATGGCTGGTGACTTTTGGCTGCATAAAAGTAGGTACTCAGGTAAATGAATACACATTTAACTTTTATCCCACCCTTCTGCAAAAAGGTTCTATGTGATTCTTGTCGATTTCCCCCCAATTTTATCTTCACAGCAAACCTGGGATGTAGGTTCAGAAGTTGGCCAAGATGCTTTGTGGCCAAGTAATATACAAACCCTAGTCTAATACAACAAGCCCTGTTTGTACCATATGACGACAGGAACCCCCGGTGGCACAATGGGTTAAACCCTTGTGCCAGCAGGACTGAAGACCAACAGGTCTGAGGTTTGAATCCAAGGAGAGCGTGGATGAGTTATTTTCATAGTTTCTCTGGGATTTTATGTCAGTATTTGTTGGTTTTACGAAGGCATTGAATGTTTGCCGTTGTTATGGTGGAATCCGCCCTGAGTCTCCTTGGGGAGATAGGATGGAATACAAACAAAGTTTTTATTATCATTATTATTATTTGAAACACAACAAGATTAGTACACAGCAAACAAGGTCACTATGCTGGCTGTTGTATTGGATCACATGTCGGACACGCCCAAGTGTCTAGAACTGTGTGATGTATCGGCGAATAATGCATGCAGATCTCAGTAGGGTGGCTTTTTGCAGCTGATAGATGGTAATTTTGTCAGTGCTGATTGTGTTTAAGTGCAGACTAAGGTCTTTAGGCACTGCACCCAGTGTGCCGATCACCACTGGGACCACCTTTACCGGCTTGTGCCAGAGTCTTTGCAGTTATTGTTGTTGTTGTTATTATTATTATTGGGGAATCCTTTGTTAGGAGGCACTAACTAGCCCTGATTCATTCTTGTCTTACTCAAAAAGCAGGGAAATACCAGAGAAGAATCAATCTCCCACCTTGGACATTCCAGATACATAAACCTCACTTGCCTAGTTTCCAACAGACCTCACAACCTCTGAGGGTGCCTGCCATAGTTGTGGGCAAAGCAGCAGAAGAGAATGCTTCTAGAACATGACCAGAAAACTCACAGCAACCCATTACAAATATGGTTTGAAAATATTTATTGAACAATTTCACAAAGCAAACCTTGACTTTTCTGTTGAAATTGTCTACATGCTTGTGATTTCAGTGGTTTCTCTCTATAGTCTGAGGACGCCTGAATACGAGGGACGCCATTGCATATGAACATGAAATTTTGGTATACTCAAGAGCCCCGTAATTAAACCCCAGTGAATATCAAGGGCACATTATATCCTATTCAATTCTCTTACCAGACTGTATGTAGTAAGACTAGAAATTGGATTAAAGGGTGCATCTATAAGAGGCATGAGCCAACTTGGGCCCTCAAGGTGTTTTGGACTCCAACTCTCAGAATTCCTAATAGCCTCAGGCCCCTTCCTTTTCACCCTCTGCCGCTTAAAAGGAAAAATATTGGACACTCAATTGATGTAGAGGATTGGGAGAAAACATGGAACAAGAAAATGAAATATACTTATGCATCTGATTTAAAAGAAAACTGGCTAAAAATGATGTATAGGTGGTACTGTACATCACACCTCAGAAACTGGCAAAATGCTACCCAGAAATCAACAATAAATGCTGGAAGTGCGAAGAACAAACTGCCTCTTTTTATCATATGTGTGGTGGCCTCACAACTCCAGGTATTCTTGGTAGACATGGATTATCTAGACCCGGCACAGTCTGGCTTTAGGCCGGGACATGGTACCGAGACAGCCTTGGTCGCCTTAGTGGATGATCTGCGCCGGGAGCTCGACAGGGGGAGTGTGTCCCTGTTGGTGCTGCTGGACCTCTCAGCGGCCTTCGATACCGTCGACCACGGTATCCTTCTGGGACGCCTCGCGGGGATGGGTCTTGGAGGTACTGTTTTGCAGTGGCTCCGGTCATTCCTGGAGGGTCGATCTCAGAAGGTGTTGTTGGGGGACACCTGTTCAACCCCACAACCATTGTCTTGTGGGGTTCCTCAGGGCTCAATATTGTCTCCCATGTTGTTTAACATCTACATGAAGCCGCTGGGGGAGATCATCCGGAGTTTCGGTGCACGGTATCATCTGTACGGATGATGTCCAACTCTGTCACTCCTTTCCACCTGCTACTAAGGAGGCTGTCCAGGTCCTGAACCGGTGCTTGGCCGCTGTGACGGTCTGGATGAGGGCGAACAAATTGAAATTGAATCCAGACAAGACAGAGGTCCTCCTGGTCAGTCGCAAGGCCGAACAGGGCATAGGGTTACAGCCTGTGTTGGATGGGGCCGCACTCCCCCTGAAGACGCAGGTTCGCAGCTTGGGTGTGACCCTGGACTCATCGCTGAGCCTGGAACCCCAGGTTTCAGCGGTGACCAGGGGAGCATTTGCACAGCTAAAGCTTGTGCGCCAGCTGCGGCCGTACCTTGGGAAGTCTGACTTGGCCACGGTAGTCCACGCTCTGGTTACATCCCGTTTAGACTACTGCAACGCTCTCTATGTGGGGTTGCCTTTGAAGACAGCTCGGAAGCTCCAACTAGTCCAACGCTCGGCAGCCATGATTTTAACAGGAGCGGAGCGCAGGGAGCATACAACCCCCCCTGTTGCGCCAACTCCACTGGCTACCGATCTGCTACCGGGCTGAATTCAAAGTGCTGGCGTTGGCCTTTAAAGCCCTAAACGGTTCCGGCCCAAGCTACCTATCTGACCGCATCTCTGCCTATGAACCCACCAGGACTTTGAGATCTTCCGGGGAGACCCTGCTCTCGATCCCGCCTGCTTCTCAAGCTCGGCTGGCGGGGACGAGAGATAGGGCCTTCTCGGTGGTGGCTCCTCGGCTGTGGAACGCCCTTCCTACGGACATTAGACTAGCACCATCTCTAATGGTATTCCGCAAAAAGGTGAAGACCTGGATGTTTGTGCAGGCGTTTGAGTAATTTAGTGCAATCTGGTAATGGAATATAGGAATGGAACAATGGACGACGAACCTGGACTACGCTTGGATGATGAGAAGATTGGGTACAGTTGTTTTTCATAATAATTGTGCATTGTAATTGCTTATTGGTAATTTATGGATAATGTGTTAAGTCAATTGTTATATGTTGTATGGAACCACTGCTGTTTCTACTGTTTTTACTGTTTGTGAACCGCTGTGAGTCGCCTTCGGGCTTGAGATACAGCGGTATATAAGCAAAGTAAATAAATAATAAATTAAAAAATATGTGGTGGACATGTAAAACTTCCAAAACACATTGGAAAAATATCCACGAAAAAATAAAAAAGATACTGGATATAAAAATGGAATTAAAACCGGAATATTTTCTTCTGGGAATAATTGACTTCGAAATAGAGCTAAATAAAGATAAAATTTTTCAACTACCTGGTGACGGCGGCCAGAATAAATTATGCAAGAGTATGGAGAATGAAAGAGATTCCATCTTAAGAGCAATGGTTAATAATTTTTTTTTAGATATTATGAGTATGGATAAATTAACCCAACGGATAAGCATAAAGCAGAATTTGAAAAATTCCAAAACAGACTGGACACCAATAAAGAACTTTATAACGCAAGAAAACCTGAAATGGTTAATAGATATAAGATAATTTCAAGCATCAAATGGTCTCAGGATGAACCATAAGAAGGAGCTTGCCAAACTACCGTGATTGACTATCAAAAAAAGAAAAGATACACCCGACGTGGAGAGGATTGGAAGTCAGACTATATATTAACCCTAACCCCCCTAATCCCTTCCCTATCCTTCCATCCTTCCCACCCCCCCCCCAAAAAAAACACTCCCCTATCTAAATTTATTTATTTCGTATACTTCTACCCCGCCCTTCTCAACCCCCGAGGGGGGACTCAGGGCGGCTTACAAAATGGCACAATTCGATGCCTACACAATAATACAATAAACATATAAAAACAGCAGTTAAACGGTTAAACAATTAAAACAACAATATATATCACAGTCAATAGCCAATCTCAAGCAGAGCGTTCGCCAACTCAGAGTCCATACTTCGTTAAACATTGTCTATTCCTATCCGTCGTTGCAGTCCTTTATTTATCTGCCAGATTGCCCAAACGCCTGGTCCCACATCCATGTTTTTAATTTCTTTCTAAAGGAAAGGAGGGATGTCGCTGATCTAATTTCCCCGGGGAGTGAATTCCATAGGTGAGGGGCCACCACTGAGAAGGCCCTGCTCCTCGTCCCCACCAATCTCACTTGTGACAGAGGCGGGGCCGAGAGCAGGGCCTCCCCAGAGGATCTCAAACTCCGAGGTGGGACGTAGAGGGAGATGCGTTCGGACAGATACGCTGGACCGGAACCGTATAGGGCAGTGTTTCTCAACCTTCCTAATGCCGTGACCCCTTAATACAGTTCCTCATGTTGTGGTGACCCCCAAACATAAAATTATTTTCATTGCTACTTCATAACCGTAATTTTGCTACTGTTATGAATATGATATCCAGGATGTATTTTCATTCACTGGACCAAATTTTGCACAAATATCCGATACACCCAAATTTGAATACTGATGGGGTTGGGGTTGGTGGTGTTGATTTTGTCATTTGGGAGTTTTAGTTGCTGGGATTTATAGTTCACCCACAAAGAGCATTCCGAACCACACCAGTGAATTGGGCCATAGAACCCTCATGACTAACAGAAAATACTGTGTTTTCTGATGGTCTTTGGTGACCCCTCTGACATCCCCTCGCGACCCCTCCAGGGGTCCCGACCCCCAGGTTGAGAAACACTGGTATAGGGTTTTGTAGGTCAAAACCAGCGCTCGGAACTGGATCGGCAGCCAGTGGAGCTGACACAACAGGGAGGTGGTATGCTCCCTGTATGATGCTCCAGTGAGCAATCTGGCTGCCTCCCACTGGACTAATTGAAGTTAATTGAAGTTAAATCTCTTCTATACTTTTTTCTATTCTCCTACTTTTCTATACCAAACAATTGTTCCCCCTCTTTTTATTATATCTGAAAAACTTCAATAATATATATATATAGGAATTGTGAGAGTTGGAGTCCAAAACACCTGGAGGGCCCAAACTGGCCCATGCCTGTGATAGAGGCACCCTTCGGTTACAAACTAAGCAAGTACAAACCTAGGCCTGCCTTAAGCTTGAGGCACAGTCAATGCCCAAATCCTATTTTACGCTTTTGAGGAAGGGAAAAAGGTTTGTCGCCCGTGAGACGGAGACAAAACAAGTATGAGCCGTCCTTGGGGAGACCTCGCATGCATCCGAAGGGCAAGGCGCGAGGCATTCAAATGAATGCGGGGGGAGAGGCCCGCCAACGGAACCATGGCGACCGCTTCCAGGCTCTCCTCCTCTCCTTCCTCTTCCCTCACGACCGCTCCCTTTTCGTTCCCCTTCCTCGCCCCGAGCAGGAGGCGCCTCGGGCCTCGTCCCCTCTCACCTCTCTCTCCCTCCTCACTGACAGGCCGCGACCGTTACCGCCCGTCAATCACGCTCCCCCCTCCGCACGCAGTCCTCTCGGCAGCGCATCCCCCGGCGCGCATGCGTCGCTGGTCCAAGCGCAGGTGCTTCGGCACGCGCCGCGCCGTCGCAACCAATCGCGATAGGGCGCTGAGAGGCTGAGCGAACGAATCGCAGGGAAGAGGTTTTTTTTTCTTCTTAATTCCCTTCGGCTCACTTAACCCAACCCCGGATCGGTCCGCCGCTTGGTGACAAGGCGGCACGTGCCGGCTCGTCCAATGGGATCCGCCGTGGGGCGTGGCTTCATGAGCATCTCGCCTAATAAGAGCCCTGGCTCAAGAGAGCGCGCCCAGTGGAGAGTCGACCAGGCATGAGGAAACTTCGGCCCTCTCATTGTTTTGGACTTCAACTCCCACAATTCTTAATTGATTCAAATCCTTGATGATATTTATTTATACCCCACTTTTTCTCTCCACAAGGAGACTCAAAGCAGCTAATATTACATGTAATATTACTAATAATATTACAGTATAATTGATATAGTGCAATATAGCAATATTTAAAACTGATACTGTACTATGTTAATAATATATTGTATGTATATATACCTTGTAAGCCGCTCTGAGTCCCCTTCGGGGTGAGAAGGGCGGCGTATAAATGTCGTAAATAAATAAATAAATATTTTTTTTCCGTGTCTACATTGAAGGAAGAAGTCCCACTTTCTTCTGCTTCCCTCAGGCCTCACCCTGGAATCCTGTGTTCAATTCTGGAGCCCACAATATCATGGCATTTTTTTTTCGTGCTAGGAGCGAAAAATACATAAACAAATAACCATCCCACCAAAAACATACACAATTTTTTGTGTGTCTGTGTCAGGAGTGACTTGAGAAACTGCAAGTTCCTTCTGGTGTGAGAGAATTGACTGTCTGCAAGGACGTTGCCCAGCGGACACCCGCATGTTTTGATGTATTACCATCCTTGTGGGAGGCTTCTCTCATGTCCCTGCATGGGGAGCTGCAGCTGACAGAAGGAGCTCATCCGCGTTCTCCCCGGATTTGAACCTGCGACCTGTCGGTCCATTTCCCAGCACAATTCAAAGTGCTGGTCCTGGCCTATAAAGCCATATACGTCTCCGGCCCAGCTTACTTGTCTGAACGTATCCCTCCCTACATTCCACCTCGTAGTTTAAGATCCACCTCTCGGTCCCATCAGCCTCACAAACACATGTGGTGGGAACGAGGGACAGGGCCTTCTCTGTGGTGACCCCCCACCTGTGGAATTCACTTCCCAGTGAGATTAGATCAGCGTCCTCCCTCCTTTCCTTTAGGAAAAAACTGAAATCGTGGTTTTGGAACCAGGCTTTTGACTAGCAGGCACGATGGCACTTTGGACATTGAACTGGACCATGTGATTGTTATGTGTTGAGACTCAGTGTTTGTCTCATGCACCTACTACTAGTAGTAGAAGGAAATGTGGTTTAGAGGATGAAGAAGCTCAGCAACAGCTGAAACGGATTAGAGACTTGTTCTTAGAGACTACGGATGAGGAGGATTTTGAGGGTTTTACTCGCGAGGAAATGGAGCTGGAAGATTACAGAGGTGTAAAGAGAGTAGCCAGCAGCTCGAATAGCGATGTGGGATCTGTTGCTAAACGCCTTAGAGATATAGCTGATTGTGGGGAGTTTGACAGCGAAGAGGAAGAGCTGGACTGGACTAAAGTTCAGGAAGTAATGGATGTGATTACTGCTCCCACCTCTAGTGATGAATTCCAGGGTTTTGATGATACTTGGGTTGCAGATAATACTTTGCAGGATGGAGCCCGAAGTACTGACTGGCAACAATGGCGCAGCCGGGATTCACCTGTGGAATTAGACGCAGCTGAAAGTGACTCCAGCGACTCTGACGAGATTTAAGGAGCAGTTTGGGGACAAACTGATCGCAGAGTTCAAAGTGTCGCGTTACCGTGTGCCTTGTGTTTAACTCCTGCCGTGAGCTCTTGTTTGCAGCTTCGTGTTTCCTGATCGTGTGAACAACCCTGCCGGAACCAGACTCGTGAGTCTTCCTTGCCTTGACCCTCGGACTGCCTGACTACGCCTCTGCTAATCCCTGGAACCTTCGTTGGACCGCTCTTCATGCGGATTGCTGTTTGCTGTTTCGTTTGCCTTTGAAACGGACTGAGTTTTACTGCTGAATCCAAGCTGCCTGCTTCTGTTTAGACTTGCTTTCCTTCTGCCAGCAAAGACTGACTGAGACCAGTTTGTTTACATTTCTGCTGACCGCAAGCCTTTTGTGTTTACAACTCTGACTTTAAGAGCCTCCTTTTGTTTTGTTAATAGACATTAAAGACCTTCATTTAACTCTTACAGTGCCGTTTGCTTTGCTGGTCTGCCTGGGTCTTGACAGTTATGATAATGGAAACGGCTATATGGCTGTATCATTCATGTTATTGTTTTTAATTTGTTATGTATTTATGGTTTTATATTGTTGTTATTGTGATATTGCAGCATCAAATTGTTGCCAGTGTTAGCCAATTTGACAATTTGAACTGAAAGGAGGAAATTATGAAAAGGAATAAAATCTGTATATAAAAAAACTCTAACATCAGGACAGTAAAGGAAGAACAGCACTCAAAAGTGGGGAATTCCAGACAAGAAGCAATCGGGGCCAGCTAATCACCTCTCAACAAAGGATTCTGACGGGCAGGAGGTGGCCAAGCCTTGAAACTGCAAGGCTATTCCATGCTAATCAAGGTGACCTATGGCAGCATTTACACTTGCATTCACACATTCCACAGATATATAAACCTCACTTGACTAGTTTCCAACAGACCTCGCAACCTCTGAGGATGCCTGCCATAGATGTGGGTGAAATGTCAGGAGATAATGCTTCTGGAACATAGCCATGCAGCCTAGAAAACTCAGAGCAAACCAATATTAACAAAGTTTAATACTTTTAAAATATTTTTATATTGTATATTTTAAGTTGTATTGTAATCTTTTAATTGTGAGCCACTTTGAGTCTCTGTATGGAGAGAGAAGGTGGGATATAAATAAGCATCGTAATAATACTGTTTGAATATTCATAGTTAAAGATATATAAAAATATCAACTGTTTGCAATGCTGTTTGCTTTAATTCTTGTTATTGGCCATCAAGTTGACTTTGACTTATGGCAACTTTGTGAATGAAAGACCTCCAATATCTCTGGTTGTCTATTGCCTTGCTTGATGTAGTTGTATCTTGCAAGTTTCATCCCAAGTAGGGAATGTGTGTGTGTGTGTGTGTGTGTGTGTGTGTGCCACATGAACCCAACAGAATGGAATTTTCCCTAATGCACCATGATGCTCCAAGAAACACTCTTTTTTTTTCAAAATAGTTTATCTTTCCATTCAAAGGGCTAACAGTCCCAACCCCATCCATATGGCACTGCTGTGTAACCATGGAGCAAGTTGCTATGGAACATCACCTGCTTGTTGCTGTGTACAGAGAAAAGTTCCCTGTGCAGTTTCTTGGTGGCAGGAGCCTTGCTCTCCACATCAATATCCCTTAAGAGTTACTTCAGTCTAAGCTTTCGGTGCATCTTCCCACCCTCCTCAATGTCTTAAATTAATGACAGTTTAAGATGCTGTACTAAATTATACATTAGGTGACAGATCGTATTAACCCCATTGTTAATTCTTTTTGAGCTCCTCCCTCAGAAACACATTCTCTCACTACTTCTCTCATCCAGGGCTTTATCAATTTTATCCTAGTACATTTGGCCCGCCCACTGTGTTCTATTTCTCTATCATGTAATTTCGAAACTGTTTATTTTATTTTGTTGTTTCATGTATTTATTTTGATGGTATTCTTGCTTATTTGTATTTTATTTTGCTGTACTGTAATTTTGGGCTCGGCCTCATGTTAGCAGCCCCGAGTCCCCTTTGGCGGGGTACAAATAAAGATGATGATGATGATCATCATCATCTGTTGGCAATATTTTAGCTTTGGGTTCCCTCATTATAATTTTTTAAAGTCAGCTTTCAGACATCAAAATATTCTTCCTGTTGTGAAAGGCATAGGATCTATGAATTTTCATCCTGACCAAAAGTAAGAGGAAAGAATGGTAGAATGTTAAATCCTACAGTGAAATGTGTGTTACATTTCACATCTCTCTGCAACACAACTTGGAATATAACTGAGAAAGTAGTGTGCACATATTAGGCTAACAGTGGGCAACTTCTAACAAATGTAGGGGCAGTTTTTGTTCCTAGAGCACATAACCAGAATAAAACAAAGATGTAAGCCTGATCATTCAACAGTTAACTTACAGATCAGATGAGAGTGCTGCTCACTCATTCTGGGGAGGAGGCAAAGGAGTCCCTTGAATAAGCCTGGGTGGGAGTGCAGCTGAAAGCTCTAGAGGGGTTTTGTCAACTCAGTTCAAACAATGTTCAGAAGGGCAAGGCTGCAAGAGCTATCAGGCTTCTCATCCCATCCCAAACTTGGTACACAGAACTCCCATGACCAACAGAAAATACTGTGTTTTCTGATGGTCTTTGGTGACCCCTCTGACAACCCTTTGCGACCCCTCCCCAGGAGTCCTGACTCCCAGGTTGAGAAACGCTGCCCTAAACCGAGCTGAATAATTTTTTTGGCTGTTTAATACTACAATCCAGTGTATGTTTACTAAAAGTAAGCTGTGTTTGACATATTGGAACTTGATTTTATCGTTATGCTTAGGTTTTCATTGTTATGTTGCAGTCCTTTTGTATGTATGTATTATAAGCCTGAATGAACATAATTGCACTTGGTTATGAATAACAATTGTTCTCCAAATATCACTTCTCTCACTAGAAAGTCATGATCTTAGTCCCAACCAGAGTAAGTGATAAAAGCAAGTTGGAAAGTTCCATTGATCCAATAGTTCTAAATTAGATAGGACTATTTGATTTATAGTTTTGTAATGCAGTGACCAGAATGGTAGATTTTAAAAAATGAAACCTGGGCCCAGATCCACATTATCACCATGCCCATCACCACATGGAGATACACGAGCACTTCAGGTAGCAACAGTGGCAGTCCCTGGTCATATGTTGCTACGTATTTTCTGTCATCTTTTCAAAGGGCCCTTCTACACAGCCATATAACCCAGAATATCAAGGCAGACAATCCACAATATCTGCTTTGGACTGGAATATCTGAGTCCACACTGCCATGTAATCCAGTTCAAAGCAGATAATGTGGGATTTTATTCAGTTGTGTGGAAGGGGGCTGTAGTCACTTTCCCAATTTGAGGAGATACTTTCTCAGCTGTCAGTCCAGATGGCTTTGGTATTTGTCATGATAGCGGGAGCATTAACTTGTTTTTTTGCATCAGAGAATGACCTACTCTTTTTCCACTGGAGAAGAACGAAGCCACCTGTATTTTCCCTTTACTTGGCTAAACATTGGCTTAAGAATAACATTTCAATTTGCTAGAACAATACCACGTGAAATGATTAAATATTCCTCTGCTCGGCACTGGTGTTCCAGTTCATTTTGAAGCATACTCCTCCACAAAAAGGACATTAGGGGTCCATGTAACGTGCCATATAGATTACTGCAACACGCTCTACGTGGGGCTGCCTTTGAAGACTGTTTAGAAGCTTCAACTGGTCCAGCAGGCGGCAGCCAGGTTGCTCACCGGAGCGGCGTACATTGAGCACACAACTCCCCTGCTGCACCAGCTCCACTGGTTACCAGTCTGCTTCCAAGCACAATTCAAAGTGCTGGCTTTAGCCTTCAAAGCCCTATACGGTTCTAGCTCAGCTTACCTGTCCAAATATATCCTCCCCTATGAACCACCTCAGAGACTAAGATAATCTGGGGAGACCCTGCTCTTGGCCCCGCTTTCTTCGCAAGCACAACTGATGGGGATGAGAGACAGGACCTTCTCAGTGGTGGCCCCTCAGCTGTGGAACTCTCTCCCTAGTGACATCAGATCAGCCCCCTCCCTCCTCACCTTCAGAAGGCAAGTAAAAACCTGGCTCTGGAACCAGGCTTTCGGATACTAGTGTAGTGCATAGGCATGGGCAATCCATGGTTCTAAAGTATTTACAAAACTAAAGGTGGGGACAACTAGGGGGCGCTACTGCTTTGCTTCTACAGTGTTGCTAAAGTTCTGGTGGTGAAAATTTCAGAATTCTAACAAAACCTTCAAAAATTTGTTATAAATGGCAGTTCCTAATTGGTTCTGTCATAAAATTGGCAATAATGAAATAATAATGAAATGTTGAAAATTTTGTTAGAGTTCTGAAATTTCACCATCAGAATTTTAGCAACACTGTCGAAGCAAAGCACCAGTGCTCCCTAGTTTTCACCACCAGAACTTTAGTTTTGTAAGTACTTTAGAACCATTTAGAACCATGGATTGCCCATAGGATTATGTGCAATGATTATGTGCCTCCCCAGACAATCTTAATCTCTGAGATGATATGTTCAGACAGGTAGGGTGGACCGGAACCATATCAACTTTGGACCACGATCTTTGGATGGCATGGTTTCAATGCTGAATGCAATCTTTAAAATGCTTAACTTGTATTAATTTTAACTCAACTGATTTTAAGTTTTTAATGTCTGCATGTGTTTAATAATTTAATAATTATCATATGTAAGCCACCTTGAGTCTCCTTCAGGGTAGAGAAAGGTGGGGTTTAAATGGGGTGAATAGGTAAATAAATAAATAACGAAGCTTTCAAATGATAAAACAGGCAGGTATTATTTTAGGATTGTAATGTCAAGAATATCCCAGGCAGAATGTTCAACGCTTTTTCCATATTTAACTTGTAAGAATACTGGATGTGCTTCTTAAAATAATGATAAAATAATAATGCTCAAGTAATATGTTGCAATTATAAGGAGACTGAAAAGCCTGCAATTCTGATAAATAGTTTTTATTTCAAAAATGTTTTAAGTGTACTACTAATCAATCTCCAATTAAGAAATTTACAGGACATTTTCCCAGTCTTCAATTGAATGTATTGCTTAGTTAGTGTGCATAGGATAGTTGCCTTATTATATTTGTTCAAACTATCAATATGCATTTTATTTACAAAACAGTCATTGACATTTAAATCGCTATGAGAAATATTTCAAATTCCGCATTTAAGATCTAATCAGATTCTTTTTAACATTAATAATACTCTATACAAAACGTACAATGTTCCCCATCCCAATACACAGTATTAGAAAGGAGATTCATTTTATTGCTGAGCATTTTGTTGCTACCACTAGATGGCCTTCCTCCAATGCAGCATTGAAGACTCAAAGACATCTCTTTTTCTTCATGTCCTTATAAATATCTGCATTAAAAGGAAAAGGAGGGGTTGTCAGTGTTTACAAAATGTAAGATTGAAGACAGTTATCCAGCTTCATCCCTTCTTCATACAAAAGCTAAATTTACATAATTTTTACTAGCCTCCTCGATGTGTCCCAATAAAATAGTGTGATTATTTATGGACTTCATTTTTAATGAAAAGGTTATGTCAGTATTTAAAATTCTGTCTGAATTGTATGAATAATAGTAAAACCCAAAATGGACTCATATAACCAACTCTTTCAAAATGCTGCTTTCTACTATATTTAACTACACTTGGAATTATCCAAAAAGAATGAACACAAAGTTGTTTGCTTTTATAATATCTGTCTCCAAATGCACATGCAGAACACTTCTGGACTAGAGGGCAAAGAGATCTCCAAAATACACATCTCTAGTTCCCAAAATTAAAAGTAAAGCCTGTTTTCCCATACATATAAGAGTATTCTTGGATATTCGTCCAATAAGGCTTAAGCATGAGAGAGCTAACGAACTAAACCTATTTTTTTTACCAGTTCCTATCTCTGTATCTATTGTAGATCAGCCACCAGAGCCTGATGGTTTAACTGATGATTTAAGAGGATTGTGAGCTTTCCTGTGGCACAAAGTGATGGGCTCTCAAGTCTGGGAAATGATGTTCTCTCTGTGAGAAAACCGGCTCAGAAAGTGCAAGGCCTCAAGGGCATTCAGGGGAGTCAGAAGTAGCAACATCAGATAAGGAATCGAATGAAGAGCTGAGTAATAAGGAGGGTTCCCATGGGAACCCACCTATAGCTATGGAAATCTTTGTTTACAAATCAGAGACAAAATAGATTGCGTTGTTCAGAGAGATTATGTGGGAAAGTTGTAAAGGAAATTCACGGGAAATAGAATGATTTCATGGGTGTCTATTAAACAACAAGTTGTTTACCTTAAGGTCAGTTCAGGCAACGCTGCGTTAGTGTGAGAACCTAAGCTTGAGATCACTTGTTCCTGGTTCAAGTTTGATTTTGGATTTAATATATTCTGGAAGTTTTCTGTGTTCCTGTTCATGTACTCCTGTTCAAGTTTTACTAGTTACACCTTCTTGATTGTGGACTTATGCTGTCTCTGTGATTCCTGGCTGTTCCTGGACTTTGTCACCTCTGGATCTTTATGAGATATTTGAATTATTGTTAGGATTATCACCTGTTGCTATACCTTTTTGGATTATCTAGCTTCCTTTCTTATTCCTGATTTTTATATGCTGTTTATATGTTTTGCAATAAACGGTTTACTTATATTCCTGGACTCCTGTGTGGTGAGATTGTCATAGGTGTCTCCAAGCCTGGAGTGCAACAGTATCCTTACCTCACTCAGTAACACCCACATGGTGGAAGTAGAATGGATAGACAATCGAAGAGATCGTATTTTTCCAAAAATTGGGCTAACAATGCCTTCTGCCCTTCCATTTTCAAATGCACCTGTGTATGTATGAAAACACTGGCTTTAATATAAACTATAACAAAACTATTTTTCCAGGCCAGCCAATAGGAGTAGCCTTTGATATATTACATTAGTAACAGGAAAAAACTAAAAGTATTGAAATTATACTCTTAAAATCTTAATCACAGAATTTCATTTAAGAATTAACATTCATTTCTTTATTAAAAGCTATTACAACTGAATTAGATTATGAAGAGAATAAAAAGAACAATGGCCTCATCTATACTGATCATTTAATGCAGTTTTATCATTCTTTACTTTGCATTGTTCTGTGGGAGTTTGTTGCCTAGCTGACACAGTTTGACACAGTTTGCAACTAGCCTCAAAATGCATTGAATGGTCAGTATAGATGTTTTTGTTTTGTCACAAAAACAAAGATTGATTGGATATTTTGGTAGCTGTAGCCTTCCCAAATCCATGTGTGTAATGATAAGAGTGTATTATACAAACCTGAAACTTTGTTTTCAAATTAATGACAAACAATAATATGGAGAAACCCAGCAGCTGACATCAGGCAAGCTGTTGAAGCTTTTTTTGTGTGTGTGTCAGGAGTGATTTGGGAAACTGCAAGTCGCTTCTGGTGTGAGAGAATTGATTGTCTGCAAGGAGATTGCCCAGGGGATGCCCGGATGTGTTATCATCCTAAGGGAGGCTTCTCTCATGTCACTGCATAAGAAGCTAGAGCTGACAGACGGGAGCTCGCCCCGCTCCTTGGATTCGAACCGCTGACCTTTCAGTCGGCAGTCCTGCCAGCACAAGGGTTTAACCCAGGGGTTCTCAAACTTTTTAAACAGAGGACAGGGTCACAGTCCCTCAAACCTTTGGAGGGCCAGATTATAATTCCAATTATAATTACAAATAAGATTTGCAGATATCTTATTTGTAGTGCAAAACAACACTTAAAAACAATACAATAATTAAAATGAAGAACAATTTTAACAAATATAAACTTATTAGTATTTCAAGGAGAAGTGTGGGCCTGCTTTTGATTGATGAGATAGGGTTGTTGTCAATGATCTGTCAATGGTAAAACAACTTTCATCCAGGATTTAATCCTGGATGAACGGGCAGATCTGGCGTGCATCACAGAGACCTGGTTGGACGAAGCGGGAGGTGTAAATTTGACCCAGCTTTGCCCACCAGGTTTCTCTGTGCAGCACCAACCGAGATCCGGAGGGCGGGGAGGCGGAGTTGCAGTGGTCTACAGAGATTCCATTCTTCTGACCAGGGCCCCCATCCCGCAGTCAACAAATTTCGAATGCGTCCACCTGAGGGTGGGTGACCGGGACAGATTAGGGATTCTGTTAGTGTACCGTCCACCTCGCTGCACTACAGTCTCCCTGCCTGAGCTAGCGGGGGTGGTCTCGGACCTGGCATTGGAGTCCCAACGGCTGCTTGTGCTGGGGGACTTCAATGTCCATGCCGAGGCTGCCCTGACGGGAGCGGCTCAGGACTTCATGTCTACCATGGCGACCATGGGGCTGTCCCAGCAGGTATCTGGCTCCACCCACAGTGCTGGACATACATTGGACTTAGTTTTTTATCAGGGATGGGAGGAAGGTGGCGGTGTTGAGGAGTTATCCATCTCTCCGTTGCCATGGACCGACCACCACCTGGTCAGCTTTAGACTCACTGCACCCCCTAACCTCCGCAGAGGTGGAGGACCCATTAAGCTGGTCCGCCCCAGGAGGCTTATGGATCCGGATGGATTCCTGACGGCTCTTGGGGAATTTCCCGCCACCTCGGTTGGTGATCCTGTTGATGCCCTGGTCACTCTCTGGAATGGGGAGATGACTAGGGCAATAGACACGATCGCTCCAGAACGTCCCCTCTCAAGTAGCCGAGCTAAACCAGCTCCTTGGTTTACCGAGGAGCTGGCAGCGTTGAAGCGAAAGAAGAGGGAACTAGAGAGCGTGTGGCGTTCGGATCCGAGCGAGTCAAATCGAACACGGTTTGTGTCCTGTTTAAGGGCATATGCCGCGGCAATAAAAGCCGCAAAGAAAACTTTCTTTGCGGCCACTATTGCGTCTCAGATATTTACATTATTTATTATTATTTATTTTATTTACTTTGCTTATATACCGCTGTATCTCAAGCCCGAAGGCGACTCACAGCGGTTCACAAACAGTAGAAACAGTAACAACTGTTCCGAGTTGTCAGAGGCCTGTTAAAACCCACCACTCAGGATGGGTGTCCTGATGACTCGGCAGCTCGCTGTGAAGCTTTTGCTCAGTTCTTTGCAGACAAAGTCGCTTTGATCCGCTCTGGACTGGATACCATATTAACGGCAGTCTCTGAGGATGTAACACGAGCATCTGCTTGTCCGGTTTTGATGGATTCATTTCAATTGGTTCAATCCGAGGATGTGGACAAGGTGCTTGGAGGAATGAGAGCTACCACATGCATCCTAGACCCCTGCCCATCCTGGCTTCTGAAGGAGGCCAGAGGGGGATTGGCCGAGTGGGTGAAGGTGGTGGTTAATGCCTCCCTCCGGGAAGGCAAAATTCCAGCCAGCTTAAAGCAAGCTGTGATAAAACCGCTGTTGAAGAAACCATCACTGGACCCCACTCAATTCGTCAACTATCGGCCTGTTTCCAATCTCCCCTTTTTGGGCAAAGTCATGGAACGTGTGGTGGCCTCACAACTCCAGGCATTCTTGGTAGACACGGATTATCTGGACCCGGCACAGTCTGGCTTTAGGCCGGGGCATGGTACCGAGACAGCCTTGGTCGCCTTAGTGGATGATCTGCGTCGGGAGCTCGACAGGGGGAGTGTGTCCCTGTTGGTGCTGCTGGACCTCTCAGCGGCCTTCGATACCGTCGACCACGGTATCCTTCTGGGACGCCTCGCGGGGATGGGTCTTGGAGGTACTGTTCTGCAGTGGCTCCGCTCATTCCTCGAGGGTCGGTCTCAGAAGGTGTTACTGGGAGACTCCTGTTCAACCCCACAACCTTTGTCTTGTGGGGTTCCTCAGGGTTCAATACTGTCTCCCATGTTGTTTAACATCTACATGAAGCCGCTGGGCGAGATCATCCGGAGTTTCGGAGTGCGATGTCATCTGTACGCAGATGATGTCCAACTCTGTCACTCCTTTCCACCCGCTACTAAGGAGGCTGTCGAGGTCCTGAACCGGTGCTTGGCCGCTGTGACGGTCTGGATGGGGGCGAACAAATTGAAATTGAATCCAGACAAGACAGAGGTACTCCTGGTTAGTCGCAAGGCCGAACAGGGTATAGGGTTACAGCCTGTGTTAGACGGTGTCGCACTCCCCCTGAAGACGCAGGTTCGCAGTTTGGGTGTGATCCTGGACTCATCGCTGAGCCTGGAACCCCAGGTTTCGGCGGTGACCAGGGGAGCATTCGCACAGTTAAAACTTGTGCGCCAACTGCGACCGTACCTTGGGAAGTCTGACTTGGCCACGGTAGTCCACGCTCTGGTTACATCCCGTCTTGACTACTGCAACGCTCTCTACGTGGGGTTGCCTTTGAAGACGGCTCGGAAGCTCCAATTAGTCCAACGGGCGGCAGCCATGATACTAACAGGAGCGGAGCGCAGGGAGCATACAACTCCTCTGCTGCACCAGCTCCACTTGCTGCCGATTTGCTACCGGGCTCAATTCAAAGTGCTGGCGTTGGCCTATAAAGCCCTAAACGGTTCTGGCCCAACCTACCTATCCGAACGTATCTCGGCCTATCAGCCCACCAGGACCCTAAGATCTTCTGGGGAGGCCCTGCTCTCTATCCCGCCTGCTTCACAGGTGCGGCTGGCGGGGACGAGAGACAGGGCCTTTTCTGTGGGGCCCCTCGGCTTTGGAACGCCCTCCCCATAGAGGTAAGATCAGCCCCCTCGCTGATGGTGTTTCGAAAAAGATTGAAGACATGGATGTTCAAACAAGCATTCGATTAATCCGGTGCAATGAAATTGATGATCAAGGATTGGTAATCACAGACGATGAAATTGGATTGCGATTCTAGTTAAGAGATGCATTGGATTGTTATTGGTGGCCCAATAATATTGTGTATTGTGTATGTGTTTTTATGCTTTTTAAACGGAATATTGTTGATTGTTGTTGTGTTGTAAACCGCGTTGAGTCGCCAATTTAGGCCGAGAAACAGCGGTATACAAGCGCAGTAATAAATAATAAAATAAATTGTTGTTGTTATTGTTGTTGTTGTGTGCTTTCAAGTTGTTTCAGACTTAGGTTGACCCTGAGTGAGGGCCAGGTAAATGACCTTAGTTTGGGGACTCCTGGTTTAACCCATTGCACCACTGGGGGCTGTTGAAGCTAAAGCCACTGTGATGTTGTGGTTTGGCTGTTGGATTAGGATTCTCAGAGACAAGAGTTTCGAGTCCCTGCTCAACCATGGAAACCTCCTTAGTGACCTTGGACAAGTCGCACTCTTTCAGTCTCAGAGAAGGCAATGGTAACTGACAACTATCCCTGAAAGAATCTTGTCAAGATAATGCCATGACAGGTTTGCCTTAGGGTCCCCATAAATCATAAATAACCTGAATGCACACACCACCACCACCAACAACAAGGCTGAGGATACCAACTTTTTTTACATGGTGGTGCTTCATCTGAGCCATACTACACAAATTTGGAATTATGAAAGTGGCAGTGAAATATCAGATTGAAGAAAACCCATCTAGGTAATCCTTCTGCCAAACCAGTTAAATACTATGATAGAGAGAGAAAACGCTGGAGCTCAGCTACAAACAAGGTACATGCCAGGACCACTGAAAGAAAAAAGCTAAAAGTAGGAGAAATTGCATGCCTTTTCATAAGTGGTTTTTGTGCTCCTCCATTTCCATATGCACTCTTTCATAAGTCTTACAATTGTGACACTTAAAGTTGAAGAATATATCAACCTTATCAATCATTTTAGATTTTATTTACCTATTTGAAAATATCCATCTAAAGTTTTGACATTTTGTAGGCCTGCAGATTGTAAGTCGATCTCCTGTAACACATGAAAACAGAAAGTCAATTCCAATTAATTTTCAGAAAGGAATCATCAGCTTGTATTGCTTACATTTCACTTTCACAAATTTTCCCAACCCAAGATGTTAATTAGAGCTAGGCCAAAAGTGTCTTCATTTATGCATCTCAGTGGAGTTATACACCTTTACTTCTTTGGTAAACTTTGGGTGCATAATGAAAACCATTTGCTACTACTTTTAACTACCATAGCTACATCCTAAGGAATGCTGGAATTTGTAATTGAGTAAGGTACCAGAGACCTCTAATCTGCTCTTCTGAGAGACAGTATTTTCATTCACTGGACCAAATTTGGCACAAATAACCTATACGCCCAAATTTGAATACTGGTAGTGTTGGAGGAAGGGGTTTCATTTCGTCATTTGGGAGTTTTAGTTTCTGGGATTTATTACTAACCTACAATCAAAGAGCATTCTGAACTCTCCCAAGGATGGAATTGAACCAAACTTGGCACACAGAACTCCCACAAGCAACAGAAAATTCTATAAGGGTTTTGTAGGCATTGTGTTTTGGAATTGTAGTTCACCTACATCCAAAGAGCACTGTTGACTCAAACAATGATGGATCTGGACCAAACTTGGCACAAATACTCAATATGCCCAAATGTGAACATTGGTAGAGTTTGGAGGAAAATAGACTTTGACATTTGGGAGTCGTAGTTGCTGGGATTTATAGTTCACCTACAACCAAAGAGCATTCTGAACCCTACCAATGATACAATTGGGCAAAACTTCCCACACAGAACTCCCATGTCTTGAAAGGACTTGCTGGTATGAGCCTCCCTCCAGCCTCACACGCTCTCCCTCACCCGCACAAGTCGACCATGCTGCCATGTGCCAAGCATGCCTGCCCTCCCCTCCCTGCTTGGAGTCTCAGAAACAGCCCTCCGCTTGGATGAGAGGCCGGCTGAGAGGCTGGTCCAAGAGAAGGGCTTTTGGTGAGAGGATTCGCTGCCTTGTTTCCAAAAAGGAAGAGAAGGACAGGCAGAGAGATCTTCAGCCTTCTCTGCCAAAGGAGTTCCAAAGACCATCAGAAATATAGGTTCTTGTAGGTTTTTTCGGGCTATAGGGCCATGTTTTAGAGGCATTTCTCCTAGGAGTTTGGAGGAAAATGACTTGCCATAGATGCAGGCGAAACGTCAGGAGAAATGCCTCTAAAACATGGCCCTATAGCCCGAAAAAACCTACAAGAACCTAGTGATTCCAGCCATGAAAGCCTTCAACAATACACCAGAAATATATGTTTTCTAACTGTCTTTGGTAACCCCTCTGACCCCCCCCCCCCATGATCTTCCCCAGGGATCCTGACCCCCAGGTTGAGAAATGCAAGATTTTGTATTTTATTATGAAAATGAGAAGAGCTGCTATCTTAGTATATATGCTCAACTGCACAAGTAATCTAAACTTATGTTTTTATTTCAAGTTAATAATAGCTTCGTATAAAATAAAATCAGAGATAAATATCTCTCCCTCCCATTTTCTGCAGTACATTTTCCCCTTCCAATTTGTTTTCAGCATATGATGGAAGCATGCACTTGATTGGCAAGACCGGATGAAAGGAGAGTAGAAATCACTTTTAAACAAGCTGATAACAGCCTTATTTTGGGGGCAGGGGGAAGGAGACAAAAGTGATTCATGTGAACTGGAGTACTTACACCATCAGGCAAAACATCTACAGTAGTATTTGTCAGTTTGTCGCCGGGATGTTCTGGATTTCCACTTCGAAATAAGTAGCTGAAAAATATATTATTTATATTCCTTACTAAGTCTTCTGTTCATGTGTAATGAAAAACACTTGTGGAAAACTGAACAAATGAAAGGAGCAATGGAACATAATTTTTTAGTTTTTAATGGGTCATTTTCTCTATCAAAATTGCCCTCAGAAGATAGAAAAGTTTAGGTTGCACAGACAGAACTATTGGGATGGGGGGGGGGGGGGTGTCATTAAATTGAAAGCGCATCATATAGCCCTGGCATGGGCAAATTTTCTAACTTGAGGGACCAAGTTGGGGGAATGGGTGGGCAGGCCGGGAGGGAGGGGGTTCTCCCCAAACTGTCCTTTCCTTCCTTTCTTCTTCTCTTTTAGAGGCAGAAAGTGAATAAAAGACAGGAAACATTTGGATTGGTCAGGATGAGATGGCGGATGGGAGAGAAAAAGTGTATCCTTTAGACCCTGTATTGCCTATTCCTGATATAGAATCCTAGAGCTCGAAGAGACCCCCTGGGGTCATCCAGTCCAACCCCCTGCCATGCAAGAAGGCACAATTAAAGCACTCCCAATAGACAGTCTCTGGGGAAAAGCTTCCAGAGAAGGAGACTCCATCAGGCAGCCTATGCCACTGAGGCAACCATTGCTTCCTTGTGCCTCGTCCTCTAGAGAAGCAGAAAGTTAGTTTTCCCCCTCCTCCTCCTCAAATCTTGAAACATGGTTCTCGTGTTCTCTCTCTACTTTCTTTTCTCTCAGCTAAACATTCCCCAGGAGGAAGAAAAAGGGAAGGAAGGAAGGAAGGAAGGAAGGAAGGAAGGAAGGAAGGAAGGAAGGAAGGAAGGAAAAGGTGGAAGGAAGGAAGGGTGGAAGTGAATGGAGGAAAGGAAGAGAAGGGAGGGAGGGAAGGGAGGGAAGGGAAGGAGAGATGGAGGAAAGAGAGAAGGAAGGAAAAACAAAAGGGAAGGAAGGAAGGAAGGAAGGAGGGAAGGTGAAAGGGAAAGAGGGAAGGAAGGATGAAAGGGTGGAAGGGAAGGAAGTATGGAGGTAAGGAGGGAAGGGAAGGATAAGGATGGAAGTAGGAAGGAAAGAGAGAAGGAACTAAGAATAAGATGGTGAGAGAGAGGAGGGCATGAGAAAAGAGCCCAAGGGGCCACATCCAGCCCCCAGGCCTGGGTTTCCCCATACATAATATAGACCCTACCTTTTAATATCCAACGGATGCCAAAAATTGAAGAGGATATAATCTCCAGCCACAGGTGCAAAAGCCCAGAAACAATCCACTCCTCTATAAGCCCTCACTAGATTAAAGTGCTGGAATGCTTTTAGGCTTGTAGTCACTTCTGCAGGAGGGTTGGCGTGTGCTTTAAATAGTAAGCTTTTGGAAAAGTCTTTGTCCTATAAGACATAAATGTATATTCCTGACTAAAGGGAAATATTGTGTCAGATACTGGTAATTACCAAAAAAATAGACAAACTACAATCATGATGCTCTTAAAATATTATCTCTCTATATAAAAGCTGAAACGTGTGTGTATGTTTGTACCTCAAAGGCTCCTATATGGCTCGATGGATCTCGGCCCAACTTGGCACACATACACTTTATTATCCAAATTAAATTACTGACTGGATTTCAACTAAAAACAACTTCCTTTTAAGGCTTGGGCCCTAAAAAACAAATAAAAAGGTATGTTTGTGTGCAGCACTCAGGTGTAACCACAAGAGGGCAGTGTATAAATAGAAAGAATTAGCTACTGACCTATAGTTGTATATATATGCAGTGATAAGATGCAACCACAATAAGGAAGTATATATGTATATATTTGAGTATAAGCCCCCCTCAGCTTATACTCAGGTGAGGGTCCTGGTGGGAAGGCGTGGAGCAAAAATAAAGGTTTCTTTTAGCCCCATGCCTTCCTGCCAGGACCTTCACCTCTGCTCACAGCAACCGAGCTCTCCTTCCTCTCCTCCTCTCTCAGTGCAGCGTGTGCCTTCTTCTCCTCCTCTCTTGGCACCAGTCTTTCCCACTTTTCCTTATACACACAGCATTTTATTTATTGACCTTATTTATATCCCACCTTTCTCTACTACGAGGGGGACTCAAGGTGACTTACAATGGCACCTGCACAGTGCCACAAAACATACAATATTCACTTAAAACAATTTAGATTAAAATTACTAATACAATTTAGATTAAAATTACTAACACAATAATATGATTAAAATACATTCAAGGTTAAAATACGCCATCTAAGGCCATTCCTTGATCAATTGTGCATATTCCCAAAATGTATATTTAAAATAAACTATGGTGATTATTGGAAGGATACGTAAGCACATTTACATTGAAGAAGTTTAGGATAATGATATAATCAGAGCTGGACAGTCTTATCTTTATTTATGTAAATATTTAAAAACTTAAACCTACTGATGCCTCAATTAATGTAATTTTATTGGCATCTATTTTTATTTTGAAATTTACCAGTAGCTCCTGCATTTCCCACCTTTGGCTTATACTTGAGTCAATAAGTTTTCACAGGTTTTTGTGTGGTAAAATTAGATGCCTCGGCTTATATTCGGGTCAGCCTATACTCGAGTATATACGGTAGTTAGAAAGGATTAGCTACTGGCTTTCAACTCAAGTTTGTGCAGAACTAATGGCAATTCTGCATAAACAAACTCCGAATGCTAAACACTTTCTCTTGGGATTATGGGGTCTGGATCAGGACCTCCAACTGCAAATAACAGCTGTGTCCAGCCCTTCCCTCAGTGTCTGTATTAGACTGCACCGAACTGCCATTTCTAGCTGGGGGTTATGAAATTACTAAACAACATGTTCTACAGCTATAAAGAATAAAAGTCTTAATATGTTGCCCAATTTAATGCTGAACAAGAACGAAGTGGCTCTTTGTCAACTTTAGATAGAGACCTCTCTCATTCAGATCAAAGTATTTGTTTTCTTGATTGTTGTAGGTTTTTCGGGCTCTGTGGCCATGTTCTAGAACCATTCTCTCCTGACATTTCACCCACATCTATGGCAGGCATCCTCAGAGGTTGTGAGGTCTGTTGGAAACTAGGCAAGGGAGATTTATATATCACACTAGAAAATGAATCCACTTTAAATCCGGTTTCTGCCTCTTGCAGAATTTTGAGGTTTGTAGTTAAAGAGGTTGTTAAAGGCTCACCCTTAAACCACAAACTCCAGAATTCTGCAGGAAGCAGCAACCGGCATTAAAGAGGATTCATTCTCTAGTGCAAACTTGGGCCCCCCAGGTGTTTTGGACTTCAACTCCCACAATTCCTAACAGCCGGTCCTAGGAGATCCTAGGAAAGGTCCAAGGTGGGAGAAAGAACTTGTGTTTGTTGAAGGCAAGTGTGAATGTTGCAATTAATCACCTTGATTAGCACTGCAAAGCCCTGCAGCTTCAAGGCCTGGCTGCTTCCTGCTGGGGGAATCCTTTGTTGGGATTCCCTCAGGCAGAATCAACCTCTTAGGATGCCTGCCATAGATGCAGGCGAAATGTCAGGAGAGAATGCTTCTAGAATATGGTCATATAGCCTTGAAAAACCTACAACAATCCAGAGATTCCGGCCATACATTTATTTTCTTTATTATAACCCCCTCTATACATTTTATCAACTACTTTCTTTAAAAAAAATGGTAATAATCTAAGAACAGGCAGATGACTAGAGCTAGTATTTGCTTATTGCAAAAAGTGGATTTCTCGCATTCACAACTACTTGTAAGGGGTTCAGATACCACACACTCATTTTTCTCGGAAAAAGCATGTATATAAGGAACATGAACAAAAACTCCACCCCTACGTAGCTGCATCATGGGCTGAGAGAAGGAATCAAAACAAAAATGACATCTTACTTTCAAAAACTGTATTTTTCCAGTTAAAGAAGAATGGAGTCCGATATGCTGAAAGAGAGATGGCTTGTAACGGATACGCAAAGACGCCTTTTGCCTTTCACAGTGTTTCTGGAAAGGAAACCATTTTCGTCATAAACAGCAGAACCAGATAACCACGTTCAGCTCCAGTTCCTTCAAATATTTAAAATCTAGATGCTTATCACACTATACTGTTACAACTCTATAGCTATACCATGGAAAGCTCCTTTGGAATACTAGGGTTTCATTCACAGGTGAATAGCCCTCTGGATCGTATTGCATTGCGATCATGAATCTTCAGGCACTGAGCAGATTTACCATCACAAAAAAAGTTCACAAGTATTTCCAGAAAACTGCAAACACTCATTCTTTGTGAGGGAAATCTATATTATCTGGCTGGAAATAAAGTCTTACACAAACTGTAAGAGGAAGAATAGCTCTGTGAGGCAGGCTGAAAACTGGGAAAGAAGGAGAAAATTAAGACAGACAGAGAAAAGGAAGAGAAGGTGGCGTGAAGAAAAAGCAGCTTAGGCAAAGTAAAGGCTAATAGAGAGAGAATATCTAAAGAAATATCTCAGTCCTAAGGTCTGAGGAAGCTACATACAAAGTATACTAATAGTGCACCATTTAGAGATAAAGAAATTCATATACTGATTTGAACTAAGCAGTCGATTATTTGATTATATGCATCTAGCTGACTTTACAAATATTTGATACATACTGTATAGTATATGTTTGGTTTTCAGCCCCTTTTTTAGGCTGAAAAAGCCCCCTCGGCTTATACACAAGTCACGGTTATTTATTATTTTATTCTGTTATTACTACTACCTTTATTATTTTACTCTAAGGTAACAGCGCTCCATCCAGTCATGCTGACCACATGACCTTGGAGGTGTCTACGGACAGCGCTGGCTCTTTGGCTTAGAAATGGAGATGAGCACCAACCTCTAGAGTCAGACACGACTGGACTTAATGTCAGAGGAAAACCTTTACTATTATTATTATTATTATTATTATTATTATTATTATTATTAAATTTATAATTTAACTTTATTATTGTTATTATTACATTTATTATTTTACATTATTACTATTATTATTATTACAGTTCCATTATTTTGCTCTATTATTATTATTATTATTATTATTACATTAATTTACTTTATTTATTATTATTATGTATTGTCAAAGGCTTTCATGGATGGAATAACTGGGTTGTTGTAGGTTTTTTGGGCTCTATGGCCACACTCTAGAAGCATTCTCTCTTGACGTTTCACCTGCATCTATGGCAGGCATTCTCAGAGGTTGTGAGGTCTGTTGGAAACTAAGACAGTAGGTAAATTGGGTTTACATATCTTTTGAATGTCCAGGGTGGAGAAAGAACTCTTGTTGGAGGTAGGTGTGAATGTTTCTATTATTATTATTATTATTATTATTATTATTATTATTATTATTATTACATTCTTTTAATTCTATTTATTATTATTACATTTATTATTTCACTCTAGTATTATTCCATTAATTATCTTACTTTATTATTACTGATATTATGACATTTCCATTATTTTGCTCTATTATTATAGTTGTTGTTGTTGCATTTATTGTTTTACTCTATAATAATAATAATAATAATAATAATAATAATAATAATCGTAAGCACATTTACATTGAGGAAAGTTAGAATAATGGTTTAATCAGAGTTGGACAGTCTTATCTTAAATTACAGTTTTATGTAAATATTCAAAAACATTTATCCCACTGATGCCTCAATTAATGCAATGTTATTGGTATCTATTTTTATTTTGAAATGTACCAGTAGCTGCTGCATTTCCCACCCTCATCTTATACTTGAATCAGGGCCGTAGCCAGAAAAAAATTTCGGGGAGGGTTGAAAATTTCGGGGGGGGGGGGGGTTGAAACCTGCCTCCTAGCTCACGCTGAAGCAAAGAGCACAGCAGGGGCAGAGCAACCTTCAATAGCCTGCAGCTCCGCCCCTGTCAACCACCTCCACCAAATCTGGCCTCCTTAATGAGAGCATTCAACACACACACACACACTTGGTTGCTTCACTACATCGGCTATTGCTGCAAGTAATGACAGTGTGAATAAATTGTCAATATTTGCTTGAGATAGTGCTTACAGTTCTGGGGGGACTCTTAATTTTTTGCATCTCATAGACTTAGCATGGGGATTTGGTTAACCAGTTAAAATTCATGAGTAAATCTGAAACATTTCGGGGGGGGGGGTTGAACCCCTAAAACCACCCCCTCGCTCCAGGCCTGACTTGAATCAATACATTTTCCCAGTGATTTGTGGTAAAATTAGGTGCCTTGGCTTATATTTTGGACGGCTTATACTCAAGTATATATGGTAATACAAATTAAACTTTTTGTTGTTCATTCGTTCAGTCGTCTCCGACTCTTTGTGACCTCATGGACCAGCCCACGCCAGAGCTCCCTGTCGGCCGTCACCACCTCCAGCTCCTTCAAAGTCAGTCCAGTCACTTCAAGGATGCCATCCATCCATCTTGCCCTTGGTCGGCCCCTCTTCCTTTTCCTTCCACTTTCCCCAGCATAATTGTCTTCTCTAGGCTTTGCTGTCTCCTCATGATGTGGCCAAAGTACTTCAACTTTGTCTCTAGGATCCTTCCCTCCAGTGAGCAGTCGGGCTTTATTTCCTGGAGGATGGACTGGTTGGATCTTCTCGCAGTCCAAGGCACTCTCAGCACTTTCCTCCAACACCACAGCTCAAAAGCATCGATCTTCCTTCGTTCAGCCTTCCCTAAGGTCCAGCTCTCACATCCGTAGGTTACTACAGGGAATACCATGGCTTTGACTAGGCGGATCTTTGTTGCCAGTCTGATGTCTCTACTCTTTACTATTTTATCGAGACTGGACATTGCTCTCCTCCCAAGAAGTAAGCGTCTTCTGATTTCCTGGCTACAGTCTGCATCTGCAGTAATCTTTGCGCCTAGAAATACAAAGTCTGTCACGGCCTCCACGTTTTCTCCCTCTATTTTCCAGTTGTCAATCATTCTTGTTGCCATAATCTTGGTTTTTTTGATGTTTAGCTGCAACCCAGCTCTTGCGCTTTCTTCTTTCACCTTGATTAGAAGGCTCCTCAGCTCCTCCTCGCTTTCGGCCATCAGAGTGGTGTCATCTGCATATCTGAGGTTGTTAATGTTTCACAAATGAAACTACCTTTATATAAATTAGGATTTTAAAGCATTATTTGAATTAGCTGTTAAATCTGAACACACAATATCTAAGGTGTCTAAGAATAACTGAAACATTTTTAAAAAAATACAATCACATCAAAGAAGAGAACATCAGATAATTCTATAAAAACTAGAAGTTTTAAAATGAATGTACTAAATAACTATGTAGGATTGAAGACTATTTTTGTTTTGTTCTCATTCCACAGTGCAGTAAATATTCATATTCATAGCATGTTGAAATGTGAATTTTTTCCCTTGTAGGTGACATATCTGTTAACACTAGTCTTTCAGGGAGATGGTTCAGTTATTTATTTATTTATTTATTTATTTATTTATTTGGAGTGCTTCTACCCCACCGTTCTCAACCCCCTAGGGGAGACTCGGGGCGGCTTACAAAAGGCACAGTTCGATGCCTAAAAATTCACAAAATACAGTACAATATACAATACACAAATTTACCATATAATGTCAACAGTTATAACTAATTAAAACAATCAAACAGTATGCTAGCAGCAATAAAATCACCTTGTGGTCAATGTTCACCAATTCATAGTCCTTTTTACTTTAAACTCATCTACATCTGTCCCATAACCAGTGGCAAATTCCAATTGTCAATGGTAATAATTTTGAGACTATCATCCTAGTGCAAATACAACTTACTTGTTTTTGTTTTTTAATTGTGTCAGAACCGACTTGAGAAACTGCAAGTCGTTTCTGATGTGAGAGATTTGGCTGTCTGCAGAGATGTTGCCCAGGGGATGCCTGGATGTGTTACCATCCTGTGGGAGACTTCTCTCATGTCCCTGTATGGGAAGCTGGGGCTGACAGATGGGAGCTCATCCCATTTCGCGGATTCGAACCGCCGACCTTTAGGTCAACAGTTCAGCCGGCACAAGAGTTTAACCCATTGTGCCACCATGGCTCCTAACTTACTTGTTAACAAATGTAGTACTTACTGCATCTTTCTCTGGATGGCAAACTTTAACTGTAAGCAATTGATCTAGAAGCCAGTCAATTGGTTTATCTCGGTAGAACATCAAAAAGAATTCTACTATCAATGGTAAATCTCCACACCGGAATAATTTTCCTGAAAATGCATTAAAAGAAAGAGAGGGGAAACGGGGAGGAAGAAAAGGGAGAAAATCATAATCACAAATTTATTTACAATGCAGGGCACACTACAACAGTTATTTATTTAACTTTCTCAGTACTGATCCATTCCTAGTGGTTGAGATTCAGACTTTACTTGGGCTAAGAGTAAACCCATTAAAATCAATATGGATTAAATCTCATTGGTTTTGATCCATCTAACAAACTTTGCTATAACAGAACTTGGCAGGGGTGGCTGTACTTCACCAGCTCTAGGATGGGGGTCCAACTGAAGATGGTCAATCTCTCCCTGACCTTGGGCCCATCCACACAGTACCTTTATCCCAGGAGTTCCCAGTTCAAAATAGAGGGTGGCCAAATAAGATCCTCTGAAAACACAGGAGGAACCGCTACAAAGTACTAAAAGCACAAGATTTTCAGTTGCAGGAATGTCCCAGTTCTGACAGGAAAATATGGATCTTCGAATCTCTGTATGTCCTTACACTTGAAAAATACGGGATTTTTTATGTTATACATGTCGGTTCCTGATTAGTTGTATCTTAAGAACATGGCAACAGTTGACTAGAGGGCAAAAAACTTTATCCTGGCAAGAGAAACTTCATCCTCCACATGTTTAATGAAATTTGCGACATACAAACAAAGGTTTTGCCCTGTAATCAACTTTCCCCATGTTTTTATGATAAAAGCAATGAGGAACAGACATGTATAACCCAGGAACATCACTCCGTTATTCCCAGACACAAGGACAAAACCAAACCTGTCTGGACAGATGGCCATGCAGCTTTTGAATGATAATAATAATGACTAAATTTTGTTCCTAGCTTGAAAGTATCCATTTCTGTTTAATAGTGTAGTCCTGACTTTAAAAGTAGTGGTCCTACTCCACAAACTTTGTTTGTGTGCCACAAACTTCATTAAATGTGTGGAGGACAAAGTTTATCTTGCCAGGACAAAGTTTTTGCCCTCTAGTAAACTTTTGCTATCTTTTCAGGATAAAAGCAACGAGGAACAGATATGTATGACCCAGTAGCAAAACTTGTACAAACTGTGCGCATATTAGCACCTGCACATTTAATTTTTTTTTAAGCTGAAATTTCTGGTGGACATCTTGCAATGGCCATCTTGTCGGCTTCAAAATCCCATAATGAAGCAGCAAGTCTGGATGTCACAGGCAGAAATCCCAGGACCAACAGACCTGTGTGCGGACCTGCTCTAAGGTCCTGGGTTTTTTTGTCCCATCTATTAAACTTGCAATTTGGTGCTATCTGGAGGCACCCCAAGTGTCACTCAAATGAGAGGATCAACACGTGGTGGATACTTTCTCAATGTTCAATTTAAGTTTTCAAAAGTATTGCACCACAATACCTTTACACACTGAAAAACTGTTAAAGGAAGATCAAATATGCAAAACTAGTTAATGTTCCAAAGAATTGCTTATACTAGTGTTTACATTGTTTTACGAGGTAAGAGCATGCCTTGGACTCTGGGAATTACATATAAACTAAGCACCTCCTGCTTTGCTTTGTCTGTGTTACTCTTTCACCAACTTAATGGAGGAAATCAAATTTCTGCACAGACTTACAGCTACTCCATTTTGACTTGTCATTTTTTTCCCCTCTGCACCACAAGTCCAAGGCAATCAACCATCTTGAAGAATATGCAATCACTTTTGCATTTCGGGTCCAACCTATCTTTGAGACCAAATCTCATTCTATGAGCCAGTGCGGGCTTTGAGATCTGCCGGGGAGACCCTTCTCTCAGTCCCACCACCGTCCCAAATATGGTTGATGGGGACGAGAAAGAGGGCCTTCTTGGTGGTGGCCCCCCGGTTCTGGAATCCACTCCCTTGAGAGCTTAGGTTAGCACCCTTGCTTCAAACCTTCTGATCCAGTTTAAAAACATGGCTTTTCAAACAAGCCTTTGATCTTGAGTAGATTTTTAAAGGCAGTCTGAGGATTTACTGTTGGTGTTGCCTTGGCACTGGGTGTGTCAATTGAAAACAACCTGTTTTTAACCACAGCTATGACTGCATTTTATGGATTTTAATGTTTTATTGTGTAGTTGCATCTGTGTGCGATTGTAATGTCATGGTTTTATTGTTTTTAGGTCTATGTACTATTTTATGTGCGGCACTTTGCTGTGCTTTGTTAGTCGCCCCGAGTCCTTCAGGCTGCGGGGTGATGATGATGAGGCACAAATAAAATTTATTTATTTATTTATTTATTATTAACACTTACTATATTTCTCAGATTTTGTTTCACTTGTAGACTGTTCTTCAAAGAATTCCCACTCAGTGGGATAAAGGCATGCTTTGACTTAGAAATTCCCATGTATGAAATGGGTTTACTTTAACTGGGACTAACTGGAGTTAACACAGTAACACTATATTTGGGACCATTTTTTAAAAAAACAGTTTCTCATTAACATCCTTGTCCCATTCTTGCTTAGCAACACTTGGGCATTGTTGCTGTACTTACCAATAAACCCAAGCTGAGAAAATTCAAGGACCATCCACTCTTGTGATCTCTGTTGCTCAATGAAGTCTTTTATTATCTCTATATATTCAGGCTTGGCTTCAACATCATCTTCTAGCTAGAAAAGGAATACAGTCTTCCTTGAGTGAGCCAGAAGTGAGATAAAAGGCAAATGTTTCTCCTTAACATTAAATCTAGTCATGTCCAACTGTGGAGGGTGGTGCTCATCTCCATTTCTAAGCCGAAGAGTCGGCATTGTCTGAAGACACCTCCAAGATCATGTGGCCGGCATGACTTCATTGACAGCCATTACTTTATATTCATTTGAATTAGTTCAACTAAAATCCTTTATGTATTTATTAAAATATTTGTTACTTATGTCAAGAGATGTCAGAGCAACAAACAAAACTTTCGTTCCCTCTTTCCTTGAATATGAATATGAATATGAAAGCCAATTAATGGAAACAAATTTAAAAACCTGTTTTACAAATTGGTAGGGATGCTATAAAAGCTACAGCCATGAAACTGTACTCCCAGTATACATGCTTGACTTTTTTACTGAATCAAGATGCTAAAAGCTGCTGTAGCTTTTTTTAATGTTTTCGTTTCAGTTCCCTGGGGAAGTGATAGAAAGCCCTTTCTAAGAGCTACTGGAAGGGAGCTTCTCAAAGATGCTTTCAACTTTGGAAAGGCATAATTATCTCAGGATGAAACAGACCTAAATGGGCACAGAAAATAATTACAATTCACCTCTGGTGAAGAGGGATTTGACTGCTTGCTCTTATGGCTCCCATACAACCATTATCTGTTCCTTGGCATGACCAAAGGTCTCCCAAGGGGCTGGAGAAAACATGAAGAACCGCATGCACTGAAAATGTTGATACAATTTTCTCTAAACCTCTGTCAGTTTTTATGGCTTAATAAAGCCTTTCTTCCATTTTCTTCAAAAAAGAGCAAAAATGGTATCTTTCATAGTGAAAAGTTATGGAAGATGAAAGAGTTAAAAGAAAAAGTAGATCAATATTTGAAGAATTTTGTCTTCTAGCACAATAAAGAGAGGTAGGGGGCAATTAGTTCACTAATAACCAATGTTTACAGAACTATATATTATAGAGACAGAATACAAATGTGAGATAGATTATTATTTTGATTCCAGCGACCAAAGCTAGTACAGTTTAATCTGTTTAGCTATGCATTTAGTATGTGAACATACCTGTAAATAAAATGTTCCTTTTGGTTGGGCATACAGCATTAGGAAGCTAAAATCCAAAATTTGTTTTGATCGCCATCTAAATACAAGCAACAAGTTCTGTTTTTAAAGGAGAAGCTACATTGCATTTTATCTTCTTTCTCTTTAGACAACGTTAAAGAAAACCTATGACAGTCTGTTTTCTGGACAAAGTTCAGAATGGACATTTATGATTTGCTAGGTTTGGTCACTTGAACTGCAGGAGATACAATGGGAAACAAAGCCTTGTTGACCTTCTGACTCTGTCAGTGTTCTTCAGTACCATTAGTCTAAGGGTGCTTCCAGACAGGGGTAAAATTCATGCCAAAGCGGGTTTTGCCATGGGTTTTGTCCCTACAAACTGCTCAAAACCTGAGCATTCCCGAGCAGGGTAGCTACATGATGTTCTGGTAACTACATTATACAGGGATGACATACAGCCACCCAGAACTCCCCCCACCTCAACCCCCCCTTTTTAAAAATAAAAAGTTACCTGGCTGCCATTAAGGTACTCCTTCAGTCCTCCTTGTGCATAGAAATGACATGCCAGGAGATGGGGAGGAGAGATTTTCCTCCTCACCCTACCGCCCCCAGGTCATTTCTAAACACCAGGATCATGCTAATGGTGGCTGGGTAAGTTTTTCTTTCCCTTAAGGAGTTATTTTGGGGAAGGGGGTGGATGTCCTCTTGGGTTTTTGGGCTCATGGAGCCCGAAAAATTTAGATGGCTGTGTGGATTGGGCATGATGCAGTCCCCAGGCCCAATCCATACAGGGCCCACACCTGGTAAGACCCAGATCTTACCTGGTGTTTAATTAATTCGGAACAAACAGTGAAATCTTGCTTTGCTCCGAATTAATTCGCTTGTACATGAGGCATTGTTTGGACGCCTCAGGTAAAAGTGCTTCAGGTCCTGCATTTTTGGGCCTGTCTGGAAGGCCCCTAAGGCCACTTCTACACTGTTATAAAAGCAGATAATCCACATTATCTGCTTTGAAGTGAATTATATGAGTCTACACTGCCATATAATCCAGTTCAAAGCAGTCAGGATTTTATATGGCAGTGTAGAAGGTGCCTAAGTATCCTCTGCAACAATCTCTGTGAGCTGGAACTTTGAAGCACTGTGAATTATGGTGAGCAGGAGGACCTTGCTTTTTGCATTTCCTGGATCCACTGACAATTGCAGTCCTCCACCCCCACTATATTCGACTGCCTTGACGAAACATTTTAAAGTGAATAAAACCACCCATTTAAAAAAATGATTTATAAAGTTCAGCCCAAGATGTCTATCATACCTTACTCTCTCCTGTGAATCCCCTAATGTTTGTTTCAGGTTAGACAACTGAGGATAATAGGAAGCAGGGGGGGAAATAACTTCAAGAAATCCAGAGACAACCTCCTTTGGGAAGCTAGAAAGAGAAACAAACAGACAGAACATCATTTTCATCGAATTAAATTCTATACAGAAGAACAGGCTACACACAGGAACTAAGAAACAACAAAAAGTTGCTTATGAACGATAGAGGGGCTTCTCTAATTTTTAACAAAATATTTTAATTTAAGTGATATGTTGCAAGCAATACATTCCTTTCCAGTTCTGTTACGTCTCCAAGAAAGGAGTCATACTCCTTCTTCAAGTTGTTTCAAAATATTTTAGAAATACACAGCAACGATTGCTACTCCCATTGTGCCATCAAAGTAAATGAATTAAGCCTCCACAGTCACCTATGGACCCGCCACCAAGACCCTACGCTTGAAAGGCCATCATACTCGGACAATGAGGAACTGCATAAGTAGGTAAGTATATGTACACATGGGCATTTGCGGGTGGTATCATTCAATTATCTCAAAATAGTATTGGGTATCCAAAGATTATACATTCAAGTGAGAACTACATTGAAGTAGAATTAAAAGATTTAGCTGAAATAATACAATTTCCCAGTCTTTCTAATTTATGTTAATATATAATTTGTTACAGATTGCAATACAGTAATCAAAATTACTAACTAGCAAACATTTTCTACTACTGTATTTGTCTTTTTAAAAATTCATATATTTTATTGGTACATGCTGTTTTGATAGACTGACATACTAGGAAAGACTTACTTGCTTATGATGCTATCTGTAATGCGGTTAACATATTGTAAATTCGCCTAGAAAGGTTAAAGAAAACGTAAGTATTTCTAATGTATTTTTTCTAACGAAGCATTTTACTAACACTTGTAGGGGAAATCTCTCTGTGTGTTTACGCCTTCAAGCAACTGTCAATTTATTAATTTCAAAGTCTCTTTGAAAGTTAAGGAGTAGTCAGAAGTAACTTTGCCAATCCTTTCGTCCTTCTTGGAATCTGCTCCCTTTAGAATACTTTGACTTTTTATGGGAAAACTGTATATTCATTTTTTATTATTATTAGCATCTTGGGAAAATCAATATAACATTATAACTATTTTGTATATTAGAAATTGCACATAAAACAGCTGCATTTCCCTTATTTATCTTGCATATATTGAGAGAACTGTATTTTTTTCACACAGCTATGTGTAAAAATAATCTTTCTATAACTGTTAAGTAGCAGCAATGAATAGTGTATTTGTGGTTAGTTCTGAGTAATGAGAGGCAGCTGAGTTAATCACAAACTGGTTTTAGTTAAACCTTTGGTGAGAAAATTCACCAAAGCTGCTTCCTTGCCTCAGGATACCCATTATAGGTAATGTCCAAAAGCTCATTCTTAATGTTGACATTTTAAATGAGAAATTGTGATGAGAAAAGAAAGGGCACATTCCCATGATGTAAACACACAGGGAAGTTGATGACTTCACATTCTGCTTGAAGTCCTAAAATTTGACAAGATCACATTCTATCTTAGCACAGATACTTTTGGTGCCTGTCATCAGTTATGGGCTGGATGAGGGCCAAACAAGCTGAAACTAAGTTCAGACAAGACAGAGATCCTCCTGGTCAGTTGTAAGGCAGAACAGGATATAGAGTTACAGCCTGTGCTGGATGGGGTCACACTCCCTCTGAAGGCACAGGTTTGCAGTCTGGGAGTAATCCTGGACTCCGCTGACCCTGGAACCTCAGGTGTCAGTGGTGGCCAGGAGTGCCTTTGCACAGTGAAAACTTGTATGCCAGCTGTACCCATACCTTGAGACACCAGAATTGGCCATGGTAGTCCATGCCTTAGTCACATCCCATTTAGACTACTGCAACACTCTCTACATGGGGCTGGCTTTGAAGATAGTTGGAAGCTACAACTAGTTCAGTGATTGGCAGCCAGGTTACTAACTGGTGCTCTGTACGGGGAGAGAACCACTCCCATGCTACGGCAGCTCCACTGGCTACCTGTCTGCTTCTGGGCTAAATACAAAGTGCTGGTCATTACGTATAAAGCCCTAAACAGTTCGTGTCCAGGCTATTCGTCCAACTGCATCTTCTATATAGATCATCTCATTAACTGTGGTCAGCAGAGGAGGCCCTGCTCTCACTCCCACCCCATTACAAGCGTAGTTGGTGAGAACAAGAGAGGGAGCCTTTTCCAAGGTTGCTCCGCATCTCTGGAACTCCATTCCTAAAGAAATAAAAATGCCCCCACCCTCCTCCTCTCCTTCAAAAAGCTTCTGAAAATGCACATATGCACCTTAGCATATGGAGAGGAGGAGGACTAACACACCGTAAAATTATTCCACCTGAACACTGGCTAAGTTATTTGTATTTTATGGCTGCTACAATACATTTTAAAGCACAACTGATGATAGACACTTTTAATATATTTTAATTGTCTAATTTTCCAGGGTACATATCTTTAATGTAGTTATGTTATTAGTGTAATTATTTGTATTCTTCTTTCATTTTATTGTTAATTCCTTTCTTTAGTTATAAGTTTACTGATGGAATTTTGTATTATTTCGATGTGCTTCAATTTGATTATGGATTTGAATGTTTGCCTTTCTGTATGTAAACCACCCTGAGTCCCCTCGGGGAGAGATGGTGGTCTATAAATAAAGTTATTATTATTGTTGTTGTAGAAATATCAATGTGTATCCCCACCAAGCATTCCAAAATTCCAAAAAACAAATGCATCCTAAATTGATTGGTGCAATCACTAGAATGAAGAAGAATTGCATGCCTCCAACCTTACAGTCTGCCCTAACAGATATGTCAAATCACAATTCCATCATCCCTAGCTGATGTGGGTGGTAGTCTGACATATCTGGAGGGCACAGGTTAAGGGACTTTTACTTTATGGCAGTGGTTCCCAACCTTTTTTTGAGCAGGGACCAGTTGATCAGGGACCACTCTCCAACATTAGTACTAAAAAGGTTACGAATTGGTTTTTGGTCAACTTTATATTCGGTTTGGTTATTTGGGATGCTGATTCAGAAAACTGCATTGGATAGAATGCATCAGCTCTAGTTTCTGATACAGAACATATGCCATCCACTAGTCGCCATCTGCTCGCCCACAGAAAACCATATTTAATAATCTAGAGCTGACGTTGTCTATCCAAGGGGTCGGGGCTGTTCAGTGACAGGGAAGAAATGGCAGGCGGCATGAAAGAAGCAGAAATAAAATAAAGAGAAAGGAGTCTCGTGAACCAGATTTTTGTCCTTGTGGTCCACTGGTGGTCTGTGGCCCACAGATTAAGAACCACTGCTTTATGGGAATCATGAAATACACCCTTGGTAATCTGTGTGGTTTACATGAAAATTGTTTGGTAGATAGATAAACAATAGTAAGTAAAGTCATACTAACCTAAATGCCCTAAAGATACCATATTCCATCTGATTTTGGAAGTTAAGTAGGAGCAGCCCAGGTCAGTCTTTAGTCACTAAAAACCAAGTGTTGTAAGCTATATTTCAGAGGAGTGAACTGGCAAAACCATTTCTGAGTATTCCTTGCATATTAAATTTATAAGGATACTATAATTTGACAAATGGCTTGAAGGTGCACGCACATGCACACACATGCACACTAATGTTTTATACATATTATGTATTAATTTTATATAATCCCTTATTGCCAGAAATGGGATTCAGAAACTTTAATGAAGTTTCATATTATAATAAGATATTATATTCTGCAACCAGGTATAATATTCTACAAAACCATAAAGTTGTAGAATTGTCTGAAGGCTCAGCAGAAAATCTGATAGAAGTATTATGACTCTCTAGTTTTTTAACTATTATACATACATTGAACAAGACACTAGAACTGCAATGCTTGGTGAGTTCCAGCATCAGATGCCAGCTTTCAAAAAGAGAAGCTTGTTGTCACATTAAAAATTACTTCATTATACTTCTACATTAAATCCCATTCCACCCTGCTCACCATCCCATCTTAACCAGCATGGATAAATAGATGAAATTGTCATCATTTTTGGTGTATGGAATCATTGGCAACCAATCTTGCCACTCTTGGCCCTTCCACACAGCCATCTAACACAGAATATCAAGGCAGAAAATCCCACAATGTCTGCTTTGAACTGGATTATCTGAGTCCATACTGCATATAATCCAGTTCAATGTGGATTTTATATAGCTGTGTGGAAGGGGCCTCTGAAAGCTGTGTGATAGACTGCAGAGACAGCTTTCCTCTCATTGCAGCTCTAAACTTGAAGCTATCCTGTTACTTTAATGCCACAGAGCTTTCGGAGTAGTGTAAAAGGGTAAAGGTTTTCCCCTGACATTAAGTCCAGTCATGGGTTTGTGCTCATCTCCATTTCTAAGCCGATGAGCCGGCATTGTCCGTAGACACCTCCAAGGTCATGTGGCCGGCATGACTGCATGTAGTGCCATTTTCTTCCTGCCGGAGCGGTACCTATTGATCTATTCACATTTACATGTTTTCAAACTGCTAGGTTGGCAGTAGCTGGGGCTGACAGCGGAAGCTCACGCCGCTCCCCGGATTCGAACCTGTGATCTTTTGGTCAACAAGTTTAGCAGCTTGGTGGTTTAACCAACTGTGCCACTGGGAGCTCTTCGGAGTAGTGTAGCTATGTGAAAACAGGTCAGAGCTCAAGATCTTTCAGCAATTATGCAGAAAATGAAATTTCAGCCGGTCATGCTTACATGACATTGTCATGCTTATCTCATAATCTCATGCAAACATGAAACTTTTAAACTGAGACTGGATGGCCATTTGTCAGGGGTACTTTGATTGTGCTTTTCCTGCATGGCAGGGGTTTGGGCTAGATGGGCCATGTGGTCTCTTCCAACTCTATTATTCTATGATTCTATGCGACAATATCACGCTAATCTCTTACCTCGGCTATAAAGACAATTACCACACAATTGTTCTTCTGTATTTCAGATATTCCAGAGAAAAGAGACTTGAGAGTAGCTACCAAATAATTTTGTTTTTCTCTTCGCACTGTTGGAATGCCCATTACTAAAGACACTGACACAAAGAAATTATATGCGCTTAGTTTTTTTTATAAGTGCATAGAACAATTTCATGTAGTTAGTATATCACAAGAATTGAATTTGTGCAATAACGTAATATCCTTAACACAATATAACTCCTATATTTAGTCACACAAGTCAGCAGATGTGCATCTATCAATTCAATACAATGTATTCAATACAAAAATAAAGTAGATTGCTGTGAGTTTTCTGGGCTGTATGGCCATGTTCGAGAAGTATTCTCTTCTGACGTTTTGCCCACATCTATGGCAGGCATCCTCAGAGGTTGACGGGTCTGTTGGAAACTAGGCAATTGAGGTTTATGTATCTGTGGAATGTCCAGGGTCAAAGAAAGATTTCTTGTAAATAAAGACAGTAAGTAAAGAGGAACACTTAAAAAAACACAAGGGGAATTCCTGACATGAAATAATCATGGCCAGCTAACACCTCCCAACAAAGGACTTCCTCAGGCATGAAGCAGCCATGCTTTGAAGTTGCTAGGCCATTAAATGCCTATTACAACATTCACACTTGCCTCAAGCAAACAAGACTTCTTTATCCCACCTTGGACATTCCACAGATACATAAACCTCACTTGCCATCTAAGGCCCCTTCCCCACAGCTATATAAAATCACACATTATCTGCTTTGAACTGGGTTATATGGCAGCGTGGACTCAGATAACCCAGTTCAAAGCAGACATTGTGGATTATCTGCCTTGATATTCTGGGTTATATGGCTGTGTGGAAGGGCCTTTAGTCCACACTGCCATATAATACAGTTCAATGTGGATTTTATACAGCTGTGTGGAAGGGGCCCTGGAAGGCTATAGCATGACAACCCTGGATTAGGAGAATTTGAGAGTATCTTTGCATGAAATTGGGTAACATATCCAATTTACAAATAGCAATAAAATAGAATAGCGTGGCGTGGCTGGTAAATAGCTCAGGTCATTTGTGAACTGAGCCAAAGAGGGGGATTCCTCATCCCAATATTTTTTTGGGGAAATGCTCCTGGTGGGTTCATAAGATCACCGTTGCGTAATATGGCCAATCACCATTAAGCTTCATGACAGGCTTTGAGCAAATTATTGATCATTTCAGTTACAAGATGCCAGAAACTGAGCTTATTATTTACAAATAGTACCCTTGTACAAAACTGCTGGACCAGTTCTACTGCAGACAGAAATAGCCTCCAAGGTCATGTGACCAGCATGGCAATGTTCGAGAAGCATTCTCTCCTAATGTTTCGCACATATCTATGGCATGCATCCTCAGAAGTTGAGGGTTCTGTTGGAAACTAGGCAAGTGAGGTTTATATTTCTGTGGAATGTCCAAAGTGAGAGAAAGAACTCTTGTATGCTTGAGGCAAGTGTGGACGTTGCAATTAGCCACCTTGATTAGCATTTAATGGCCTTGCAGCTTCAAAGCCTGGCTGGTTGCTACCTCGGGGGAATCCTTTGTTGGGTGTTAGCTGTCCCTGATTGATTCTTGTCAGAAATTCCCCTGCTTATTGAGTGTTGCTCTTTATTTACTGTCTTGATTTTAGAGTTCTTTAAAATACTGGTAGCCAGATTTTGTTCATTTTCATGGTTTCCTCCTTTCTGCTGAAATTGTCCACACGCTTGTGTATTTCAGTGGCTTCTCTATGTAGTCTAACATGGTAGTTGTTAGAGTGGTTCAGCATTTCTGTGTTCTCAAATAAAATGCTGTGTTCTAGGCAGCAACCAGCCAGGCTTTGAAGCAGCAAGGCCATTAAATGCCTATTACAACATTCACACTTGCCTCAAGCAGACAAGAGTTCTTTCTTCCACCCTGGATATTCCACAGATATATAAACCTCACTTGTATAGTTTCCAACAGACCCCCTCAACCTCTGACGATGCCTGCCATAGACGTGGGTGAAACGTCAGAAGAGAATGCTTCTGGAAGATGGCTTTACAACCCAGAAAACTCACGGCAACCCAGTGATTCTGGCCATGAAAGCCTTTGACAATTCACTTATGATATATTTTTAAGATTTTAAAACACCCAGTTCTCCAATATTTTATGTGTACATGCCAAAAAGCCTTCCACCACCTGCTCTCAGATATGCTTCCTTGAGTATTGTATGAACGGGCGGCATATGTGAAATTGCCAATATGATTTCCATTCACCCCCAATTTATGATGTGGTAATTTGGTTAGGAGAGCTACTGAGCCATAGCAAGCTATACATTTTTGTTTCAACAAATTTTGTATATAGATAATTGTTTTAGCGAGAAGTTACAAAATGTTTTAACAATGTAGTATATTTTGCATGCCTTCTACAGGCAAAGATTCTTTATTAAGGTATAAGTTAACTGATTTCCTATCTTTCTTCCAATTAGCTCAGTGCAGCTTCCGTGGCTCACCTCTTCCTTCTCACTTTATCCTCACTACATCCCTATAAAATAGATTATGCTGAGTAGGGAACATGATCAACATGAGGATGTTCTGTGAATTTCCTAGGATAGTGCAAGAGTTCTGCCTGAGCAACAGAGTATAATGTGTCCACTTGCATAGCTCTACGTATAGATCAGCAGGTACACAAACACAGGGATATTCAACAAGAGCTGAAATTAATAGAGTACTACGAGGGTTGAATGAAAAGTAATGCCTCCACCTTCGTAACTCCTCAACAGATGGCAGTACTGGTATGCGACAGGTAATGGCTTGTTCAGTAGACTCTCCTCTACAGTTCCATTTAGGTGGGAAGCCTTAGCATTGAATGGTTGTGTTGTTAAAGTGCGAAGTATGGAACCCTGCGCAGACGGTCGGTCAATGCGACTAAAGTAACATGCAGTCATTGAATTCTTGACAGCAGAATGTGTCACCCCAAAGGAGATTCATCAGAAAATGCAAGCTGTTTATGGTGATTGTGTTGATGTGAGTACTGTGCGTCATTGGGCGAGTAAGTTTAAAGTTGTTGAGGTGGGAACATCTGACTTGCATGACAAAGAATTGGATGTCCTGTGACAGCAACCACTGAGTTTCACAAGCAAAAGGTTGACAGATTGGACAATCATTATACCACTCAGAGAGAAATTTCAAGCACAATCGGCATTTCACAAGAACGTGTGGGTCACATTATTGCTTTGCTTGGCTATCGGAAGATCTGTGCATGATGGGTACCCAGGATGCTGACGCCTGAAATGAAGGCACACAGACTTTAAACTTCAGAGACTGGATCTCACCACCGTACGACATCCTTCATACAGTCCAAATTTAGCACCGTCTGACTTCCATCTGTTTCCGATAATGAAATAAGATCTGCAGGGACATCATTATGCTTCTGATGAAGACGCTGAGAGAACTGTGAGATGCTGGTTGTGGAAACAGAGTGTCCACTTCTTCTGTGACAGCTTCAGAAAACTTGTACATCGTTGGCAGAAATGTATCCAATTGTCTGATGATTATGTGAAAAAGTGAATAGTGGTAGTTAAAGAGCACATTCTAAGGATTATTTCTGCGTTTGATTTATTAAAATATTCCCATCCAAACCCAAGTAACAAAGGTGGAGGCATTACTTTCATTCAACCCTCGTATTTCAGAAAATGCATACATCACAATTTTACTGCAAAGAACAGAAATGAGTTATACATTAATTTTATGGCTAACATTATCGAACATTACATATTATTCTTACCCCCAGTCCTTCCTTGTCCAATTATGACATTTGGATGGATGCTGTTTTCATGCTTCCGGAGATGCGGCAAATAGTAGAAGATATTTGTAAGATTTAACGGGAGCTTGTTGATGTGGTTGGGCACTTTGCACTTCACAGAGGCTTAAAAAGAAATATGCCAAATCCAAACATTTAATTATGTGCATAACATCTTCCAAGTTTTAACCATGGCATGATTTTCTGATTAAATGTGTGCAAACAGCATGCTTAAAGGTTCAGCCCGCCAACTGTGACCCACAAATAAAAATTATACCACTTGGTTGCTGTGAGTTTTCCAGGCTGTATGGCCATGTTCCAGAAGCATTCTCTCCTGACGTTTTGTCCACATCTATGGCAGGCATCCTCAGAGGTTGTGAGGTCTGTTGGAAGCTAGGCAGATGGGATTTATATATCTGTGGAATGTCCAGGGTGGGAGAAAGAACTCTTGCCTGCTTGAGGCAAGTGTGAATGTTGCAGTTGGCCACCCTGATTAGCACTGAATGGCCTTACAGCTTCAAAGCCTGGCTGCTTCTGTGGAATGTCCAGAGTGAAAGAACTCTTGTATGCTTGAGGCAAGTGTGGATGTTGCAATTGACCACCTTGATTAGCATTTAATGGCCTTGAAGCTTCAAAGCCTGGCTGCTTTCTATCTTGGGGAATCCTTTTTTGGGAGGTGATTAGCTGGCCCTGATTGTTTCTTGTCTGGAATTTCCCTGTCGTATTTATTCACTGTCCCAATTTTAGAGGTTTTTTTAATACTGGTAGCCAAATTTTGCTCATGTTACGGTTTTCTCTCTGCTGAAATTGTCCACATGCTTATGGATTTCAATGGCTTCTCTGTGTAGTCCGACATGGTGCTTGTCCAGCATTTCTGTGTTCTCAAATAATATGCTGTGTCCAGGTTGGTTCATTAAGTGCTCTGCTATGGCTGACTTCTCTGGCTGAACTAATCTGCAGTGCCTTTCATGTTCCTTGGTTCGTGTTTGGAAGATGCATTTGGTGGTTCCTATGTCTACCTGTATACCATGCACTGTGGACAAATCTACACAAATGCAGCGTCCACAACAAACCTCACAACCTCTGAGGACGCCTGCCATAGACGTGGGTGAAATGTCAGGAGATAATGCTTCCGGAACATGACCATAGAGCCCGGAAAACTCACAGCAACCCAGTGATTTCGGTCATTAAAGTTATCGATAACACATTATACCACTGGTTATAAACTTGCATCCCTCTGTAAAAATTCATAGCTGCAAAATATATGCAACCCCTGTTTCCCTTTTTTGGATGATACATTTTTTCTTTTTCTTTTTGACCAAATGGCCACTCTAACTACAGGCAGTCCCTGAGTTACAAACATCCAATTACATGAGACTCGTAGTTAAGAATGGGGGAGAGACAACAGGAAGTGAAAGAAATCTATCCCTAGGAAGGCAAATTAACTGCTGAAAGAGTTATCATGGGGGGAAAGGTGTCTCCACTGAAGCTTTGTCTCAAATCCTTGTTTCCACAACAAGTCAATTTTTTCAAAATCCAATGATCACAAGGACAGAAAGAGAAGTGAAATCTTCTGAACGGGGGCACAGACAGTAAAACAAACACCACAATTGTGTTTGTTTTTTTCACTTTATTTTTCTTTGTTTCAGGAGCAACTTGAGAAACTGCATGTCGCTTCTGGTGTGAGAGAATTGGCAATCTGCAAAGACATTGCCCAAGGGATGCCCGGATGTTCTGATGTTTTACCATCCTTATGGGAGGCTTCTCTCATGTCCCCGCATGGGGAGCTGGAGCTGACAGAGGGAGCTCTCCCCAAATTTGAACCTTGGTCTTCAGTTCTGCTGGCACAAGGGTTTAACCCACTGCACCACCAGGGGCTCCTACAGTGGTGTTAAACCTTCCCAATGCTATCCAAAACTTATATGTTTGGCCAGACTTAAACTTAGAAATGTATCTGTTCCAATTTACATACAAATTCAACTTAAGAACAAACATACAGAACCTATCTTGTTTGTAACTTGGGGATTGTCTGTAGTCCAATAAAGTAAATAGGTCACACTACATTTGTGAAAGCAGAAGTTTCTTTTCTGACTTAACTCAAGAATTTGCAATCATTAAAAAAAGAGAGTCCAACACAAACCTGTAACATTTAGTGAACTCGCAGTTGGCACACCAATGAATTGTTTGATTTCATTCAGGACATTATACAGCTCACGTGATCTTTTTCTGTTTTCTTTTTCAGCGTACAAAAGTCTTTGGCGAAGGTTCAAAAGCTGCCCTTCATAGAAACCAGTTCTACTTTCTGTAATTGTAAATGTAAATTATATATGTCAGATAATAAATTAATTAATTGATAGAAAGCAGAGTTCAGGAGGCAAGCAGCAAAAACGAAATAGAAATATTCTTTTAAAAAAAACTATGTCCAAGTCTTGCTGGATACAATATATGCATGTCCTTCTCCAAAGAAAACAAAGTATTTTAGAAAATCTATTTACAAAAAGAATAGTGGCTTAGTAAAGGTAAAGGTTTCCCTTGACATTAAGTCTACTCGTGTCCGACTCTGAGGGCTGGTGCTCATCTCCATTTCTAAGCCAAAAAGCTGGCATTGTCTGTAGACGCCTCCTGGGTCATGTGGCCGGTATGACTGCAACGAGCGCCATTACCTTCCCGCTAGAGCAGTACTATTGATCTACTCACATTTGTATGTTTTTGAACTGCTAGGTTGGCAAAAGCTGGGGCTAAAAGCAGGACCTCACCCCATTCTTCGGAATCGAACTGCCAACTTTTCGGTCTGCAAGTTCAGCAGTTCAGCAGCTCAGCGGTTGAATCCTCTGCATTACCTGGGGGCCCATGTATAGTACATGGGTACATACATACATGTACCGATTTCTAGATCAATACTAATTCTTTTAAGTTAAATAAAAACATGAGCTGGTTACACATCCTGATAAAATGTACTCCCCACCAGCAGGCTGACTGACTCTGAGTTAGACTTTGTAAAACAGGACCATAGATTTACGAGTCTGTTTTCCTTTATGTTTCCCTAAGGCGCCATACAGGGAAACAGTTAAACACTATTATTACAAAGCCTCACTGGCTTTTGAACAACATGTAGTAGCCGAATCTCGTAGGTTGTGTCCTGAGGAAACTTCACTAATTGGCAATGAAAGCATGTCCAATTACAACACTAAACATGGTTGGATTGTTTTTTAAAAGTGTGCTTGATGTTGGGACCAATGTTTGTTGGTGTTCAAAAAACAAAACAAAAGAAAACACAATGACTGATCACATTCAAAACAGCCTTCCATCTAGAGTTGCCCATAAATGCTCCAAAGCACTTATTGAATCAATGCATTATTAATGTGCTGCATAAGTGTTTACTAATAGATGCCATCTCAGGTCTGCCAATATCCCCCTCGCCTCCAGTCATCAGACCTATCAGTTTAGTTTTTTGGTTTTTTTAAGCAAAACAGTGGTATGGCCCCACCCGGATGGTGGACTTCATTGCTTCTTTATCTCAATGACTTTACACCAAAGCTTTCCAAACATTTCATGGTGGCAACATATTTATTAGACATGTGTCATTTTGTCTGGTGGCGCAGGATTTGTGAATGCAAAGGGCAACTTACAGAATACATTCAGAAGATGCAGTGCACTGATGAGATGGACCTCTGAGAACTAAAGTATTCACTGCTTATCTGTATTTTCCGTCATTCAGAGAATAAAAGAAAGGAATAAAGCACGAATGATTCCATTAGGAATACAAATGGCTCTCCAGATGTGAGTGGACTACAACTCTCATCATCTCGGCCCACTTTGTTGTTGTAGGGTTTTTGGGCTGTATGGCTGTGTTCTAGAAATATTCTCACCTGACTTTTCACCTGCATCTATGGCAGGTATCCTCAAAGGTTTGAGGTCTCAATACCTCTGAGGATGCCTGCCATAGATGCAAGCAAAACATCAGGAGAGAATACTTCTAGAATACGGCCATACAGCCCAAAAAACCTACAACAACCCAGCGACACCGGCCAGGAAGGCCTTCGACAACACATTAGCCCACTTTTCTTCTGAGATGCTCAAGAAAGCATGCATAGTTGTCTGTACCACAATGTTTTCCCCTCAGTTACTTTTTTTAAAGCATGGGTGAGAAAAGTAGCCACAAGGAAGGCCCAAACATTTTTGCATTCCACCAACCTTTCAGCTTCATTCACATACTGCACTACTTACAGTTAAAATTCAATTTGATTTAGTATAGCTAGCTTCTTTGAAACCCTATATTGAAGAAAATATGGGATATGACTTAAATAAGTACCGCTTCTGCAGGAAGGGAACAGTGCTCCATGCAGTCATGCCGGCCACATGACCTAGGAGGTATCTATGGACAATGCTGGCTCTTCCGCTTAGAAATGGAGATGAGCACTGTGAAGATCCCTTACCTTGCCAGCCAGGGTGGCAGGGCCCAGGAGGAGACAGGCTGGGTAGTTTCAGCTTAGAAGGCCTGGCAGAGAGAGAGACAGGAGCCATCTTAGTTTAGGGAAACTCCAGCTCAGAGAGGGGGAGTGGCCTAGGCCTGAGCCAGCCCAGCAACAGCCAGGATTGGTTTAGGAAAGAGGGGCGGAGTTAGCCAGATGGAGGGAAAGAGAACAGATAATTTTGACAGTTCAGTTCTGAGTAGAGTAGAGTTGAGTTCTGAGTGAGGTTAGAGCAGGATTGGGGAGTTTTAGGAGTCTCTGTTAAGAATAGGCAGCTTGCCTGTAGTTTGCACAGCAAAGTGAGCTGTGGCAGACTGGGTTACAGCTATTTTTAGAAAAGAAAATAGCTGGGTTTTGTGTTTAAGAAATTGTAACAAAGGAAAGAACCATTCGCTCAAGTAACCATTACGCTTCTAAGAAACAAGAACACTTTTATTTGTAACAGCCAAGCCTCTGAACCTGCATTCACTTTTAATTCTGTAATTTGTAATCAATAAACTCTTTCTTGTTATTTTTAAAATTGAAGCCTGGGTCAAGTGCCATTTTTGGTTTTGAGTCCTTTTCCTTGTTGAATCAACCTCTCCTGTTACCCTCAAAGAAAGCCCTTGATAAAACATAGTATTTGGTGGAGTAAAAAAGCCTTTTAATAATTTAAACAGCCTTTTAGCAGTCTAAATAGCTAGAGGGTTCGTGTTTCTTTAGTTTATGGTGGCAGCGAAGGTTTTACATAACGAGACATCCCCTCAAACACTATAAGAGGCAAGGTGGTGTGAATTCCTTATTGAAGGAGGGACAGTGGTGGGATTCTTTGACCCCCCTGCCTTGATAAGCCTTCTAAAGCCCTTATAATTGGTGGCAGCGGTGGGATTGATTGTTCCACCCTGCCCAGATATCTCTCTAAGTCGTTATAAGCACCATGCCCCAGAGGTGGACTCGACTAGACTTAATGTCAAGGGGAAACCTTTACCTTTACCATTTTGTCATACAGTAGTTCTTTTTTGACTAGCAAACTGGAGGTTAAATGAAATTAGGGGCAATTCAACTGCAATTTCATGAATAAATTTGTTAATTTATTTAAACCCTGGAATCAGGATTCAACAAATGATTCCAAGGGTCTACTCTAGTTGGGATTCTAACCAATGGGGCCGAAGCCACAAGTGTCCACCACATTATTTCCTCATAGAGGAGCCAGCATCAGTTAAACATATCAAAGTGGAGAGCCATCTAGTTCAATGCCTTAAGCGATCTTTCTAATTGAATAATAACGCATGCATCTTATAAACCAATGGGCATTTCCTTTGGTCTACTTCTCAACTGGCTTTATTCAAAGTATTGCTTATGTGTATAATGTTAACTTTTGGCAGGAGCGATTTAATTATCTTATCATAAAGCACACTAAAAAGGGCAGTGCCTCCCTATCTAAAGAGAAACCTGAGCATACAAAGTACACAGAAGTGGTTTTTGCTTTTATTTGACAAATCTGCAGGTGTAGGCTGTGCTCAAAAGCTCTAGATGAACACTATAGGCAACAACATCATTAAACGAAACTACTGCAGCTTTGGGAATATTGTTGTTCTGCTAACTGTCCCTGTAAACTATCAAGAGGGGGAAATGGATCTGTGATCTATAAATAGATCTGCTGTTAATTACTTCCAGACAACGGAATATGGTTTTAATACAGCACAATATTAATTATTTTGGGGGGAAAGATAAGAGGTTGATATTTGGATAATGTGGAGCCCCTGGTGCTGCTAAACTTGTTGATCAAAAGGTCAAAAATTTGAATTCGGGGAGCGGCTTGAGCTTCCGCTGTCAGCCCCAGCTTCTGCCAACCTAGCAGTTTGAAAACATGCAAATGTGAGTAGATCAATAGGTACCACTACAGTGGGAAGGTAACGGCGCTCCATGCAGTCATGCTGGCCACATGACCTTGGAGGTGTCTATGGACAACGCTGGCTCTTTGGCTTAGAAATTGAGATGAGCACCAATCCCCAGAGTTGGACATGGCTGGACTTAATGTCAGGGGAAAATCTTTACCTTATTTGGATAATGTCTGTGCTCTAACAATTGTTTGATGATGAAAAATAATTCAATTCTTAAGAATGTTTTCCTAACACTGTATGTAAGATATATGCCTAGGAAATTCTAGAACCATTATCAATATATTATGTTTAAAGCATACTTTTCGACCCTTTACACAGGCCAACTAAGTAGTGGCAACCACAACTACGCTGACGTGGTCGTTGCTTCTCATATTCACTGACACTGAATGGAACAATGGAGCAACACAAGAGAGAAATAATTCTCCTACTTTTCCAATCACTCCGTCACCCCAACCAGTATTAGTGAATTCAATGATTGATGCCCATCAGCTGTTTCATACCCAGTGGTTCTGCTAAACTGAGGATGGGAAGTGGAAGGTAAGAACTAGTCCCTGTAGGCTGCCCAAGCCTAGGGAAAGGGGGAAGGCCATATGAGCAGCTACAGCCACTCCAACTATGAAACAACCCAACTGTTCACACAGCCACAAAGTGTGAGTGAGCTCCAAAGGTTCAGGGAAGTTCCAGAACATTCCAAAACATTTAAAGGAGAAATAGTCCCAATTTGTTCATGTCAGAAGTGACTTGAGATACTGCAAGTCGCTTCTGGTGTGAGTGAATTGGCCATCTGCAAGGATGTTGCCCAGGGGATGCCCAGATGTTTTACCACCCTGTGTCCCCACATGGGAAACTGGAGCTGACAGATGAGAGCTCACTCTGTCTCACAGATTCAGGTCAGCAGTTTAGCCACCATAAGGGTTTAACCCATTCCACCACCACGGTTCCCTATG